TAATATATTTTTCTCAAAGCTTTTATTTCACTTTAACGCATGTTTTTCTCTCAAAAAGAGAAAATTAAACATAATACTTGGATCACACAAGAAATTAGAACATCGTATAAAAAAACGCACTTACTTTATTTCTAAACATCATAACGTATTACCCGGTTCCCATGAGTATTTCCGAGAATACAAAAGAAATGTAAGGAAAATAATATTTCAGGCAAAAATAATGAAAAATAATCCGGATATTTTGAACGCAAGTAACAAAATTAAAGCAATGTGGGATATCGTAAAAAATATGACCACATCATCTCGATACTTAGTAAAGAATGTTGTTTTAAATGATAATGAAAGAGAAGCAAGTAATCCGAAAAATGGTTAATCTCTTCAATCAACACTTTTCTAGAATTGCGGATCAACTCACAAAGGGACTAAAACCACAAAATTCAACTTCATTCCCTTCCCCAAAAAGTTTCAACACTATGTGCATTTCCGAAAACTACTTCCAACGAAATCTTACGAATAGTCAGTAAAGTAAAAAATAAATTTTCATCTGGTTTAGATGAATTTCCGTGTTGTTTATTGAAAACTTGTGTACCTGGCTTTCCACACCGTTAACTCACATTTTCAATACCAATTTCTTTTTTGTTAGGTTTCTCAAAAATATTAGAGAGGCTTTTCTATATGCGAATTGAAACTTTTCTCAGGAAAAACGCCGCGTTTTCAGACTCAGAACACGTTTTTAGAAAAACAAAATCTACGGAAATTGCCATTTTTTCTGTTCTTAAAGATGTTGCTTCATCAATGGATCAAAATGAAGCACCCATTGGGATATTTTTAGATCTTTCGTAATTAGGTTATTGATTATAACATCTTGCTATCAAAATTACCTTTTTATGGAATTCGTGGTATCGCTCTAGATTGGATAACTTCGTACCATAAACATCGATCTCAAAGAGTAGAAATACCGTACTGGCAAGAAAGGACATTATTTACGTATCTTTCCAATTCTTTACCAACTGAATATGGAGTCTCGCAAGGTTCGATCTTAGATCCTATCCTCTTTCTGTTATACGAAAACGATATGTCTTCGTCTATTAAAAACGGAAGAACAGTTCTGTTTGCCGATGACACGAATGTTCTTTGCAAAAAAGAAACAATAAATAGTACGATTTCAGAAATTTTAAATTCGTTTTGTAATAACAAATGAATAGCTAACGAAGGTATAACAGTTGCAATGAATGAACAGTTGCATTTCAAGTCAGCAATCGCATGGTCCATTGAAAATGAACAATATGCAATTAGCTGATGTTACGGTAACAACATTTTTAGGTCTCTCAGTTCAGTCAAACCTCAGATGGAATGTACTTATAACAGTATTAAACCCTAAGCTAAATTCATTATATTACGCATTCAGAATTTTTTCGAATTCCGTCAGCCTTCATGCAGCTCATTACGTGTATTTTGCGAATGTGCATTCCCGCCAGAGATATGGCATAATGTTCTGGAGACGTTCATCATGTAGTACTCAGACCTTTTGATTGCAAAAGAAAGATATTCGAATAATGAAAAAAATGGCATCCTCGTGATCCCTGCAGGCCTCTCTGTATTGAGCTCGGAATCTTACCTATTAGCCTTGCCTATTTATTTACGAATGTGTAATTTTTTTTCACAACTGACTTAGTTAACGGCGGGAACATATTTTCATGCAATAGTGATATTTATAATTACGGCACACGTAGAAATCACATTCATCAAGTCTCAGTATCAAACGAAACAGAACACATACAATACATGTATGTTACTTTACAACACATTGTCAGAGGATATTAAACATTTCAAGTCGGTACACAAATTTAAGTTACGAAAAACCGTTTTTATACAATTAGAGACTATACTGATTATCAAAAAGAAAAATAACGTTTATTTTAACAAAGCAGTGATTTATAATGAATTAATTTACGTTTGTATTGTATACTTTTTTAAAAAGACTTAATATGCTTGTAACAAAAATGTACTTCAGCTTCCGAGTCAATGACCCCCATCTCGATCAGGTTTTTGTCCAGTTTTCCTGATCCATTGCGTAAATGTTGAGATGGCCCTTTGTTTTGCATCTGGACGTAAATGTAGCTTCACTATGCGCAAGTTTTGTTGAACTCTCCTTTTGCTTGTAGTGGTAGGAGTAGAGGTAAGGACGAGTTACTATTTTGTTAGCAATGCAGAAAATAAAATCTGCAGTTCGTTTTCCGTTGCGAATAAGTTTTCTATAACTTGGAAACGATAATGTCTAGTTTTTCAAATTACTGCGCGATTTTTTAAAAATATCATTATTATTTTAAAATTCTTTTTAACTTTTATTCATTTTCAACTATTTATAGTTAAAATGATGGGAAGAGACTCTAGAACTCAAGAAAACCTGCACAGATTATCTTCTCCCCCATACGTCACATACAGTTTTTTACTGTTTTTGACTAAGTAAATTTAAATGTAAATCTTAACTTAGGCTGTTCTACATATAGGAATTAAGATGAATTGTAATATTTTATTTGATCTGACGATGGGGGTGCAAAAGCTCTTTAAACGTAGTAGACTGGGAAAGCATAGACGTTTGATTAAATTTGAATTGTTTTGAAATGAAATTATTTAAAACAATTGTTTGCTATCTAAAATTTTAAATGGAGGGCGTGATAATATGTTAATCCAAGTTCTTTTTCTTTTCGAGTTTTCGCGAATGAAAGTTCGCAACTGTGAAATTTTGTGTACTCTCCTTTGAGATTCGTCTGTCGCATGTGTTGTTGTTCGTCTGGCATTCCCATTAAGTAAATTAGAGGTCACTGGGAGTAACGAAATACCCCAGTAGGCATGTATGTGTGTAGTACGTCTTCTTGCCCCCCTCCCTAATAAAAGTATCTTGTTATGCACTCAACCACGAAAACTGTCTTGTTACTCTCTACTATGCACTCTGATAGAAGTACAGACTAGTATACGAACAAAGCAAAAATAATTTAATAATTGAAATTAAGTGTGTGATCAAAGGTCAGAGAACAAAAGTACAGACAAAAATGCATGCTTCAATTGCAACATACAAATCTTCCAAGAACACGGATTAGGCGTATGTTTTTCATGCAATATCATCTCATTATATGTGAAACAAAATACTGTTTACATTAAACAAATTTAGTAACCTTATGTTCTGTTATTTAATTCTACACTTTGGGTAACATATTTTCCATAACAAACTTCCAGTGTACCATTAATAAATCCTTAAGAACTTTCAAGGTTTAAGGTTAAAAATTTGTATCGTACAACCATGAAATTTTCATTAGAGATAATCATATAAACATATTTTACAGCCAAATCGAAAATAAATATAAGAAACCCCTAATAAATTCAACTCAGTTTCCAACACACCCTGACGGAGTCACCTCAGAGGTGTCGATCTTTACGTCTGCAACGACTCTGACCTGGAGGTCCTAAGGGTCGAGTCCCGACGGGGCGGATTATCCACACGAGCTACGGTATATTACTAGGATGAATTCGGAAGCTCGCTGTCTGGAAGTTAATGCTAACGACCGGTTGATCTAAACGATAGTTTTCCGTGGTTTCTCTGATTAATAACAAAAGAATTCTGGAGCAGTACCCTGTCAAACAGCCGAGGACACTACACAATCAATCTTTTCTTTTCCTTATCCTACCCATTTTGTCCTACGTTCAACGGCAGAAAACCGTTTTCATTTAAGCGTTTAAAATAGCTTAAAGAATTCCATTGCTTTCTTTAAGAAGGAGAATGACGTGAATTAGCCTACGTGGTTAAACGAGAAGTTTTGAGGAACGTATCACAACATAATAATAATAATAATTATTATTATTATTATTATTATTATTATTTCTCTTTACTGACACACTTAAATGAAATACACTAGGCAGTGCTCCGCTGTGGGGAGACATCTGGAGGTGAGAATCCGTATCGGTCGGCGCAGGATCTCACCCTCCCACTTGAAGAAAACATCACCACCTCCCGGGTTAAACCATTCACTACTTTAACGAGACTAATAACACGCATACCCCCAAAAAGTGGTCAGAATCAAAGACTTGAAACATGTATTTCTGTATTTCTGTATTTCAACGCGCTGAATCCGAATCTGAAGCCAGAATTGCGCAATCACCATTCTCCCGCCTGAATTCGACCCAGGTGACAAGCTAGTGTCGAAAATCGTGCCACCGTCGGACTTCCTGGTCAGAGGGACTGCAATGACATCAGTAGATGCCCCAAACCATCTCTCCCGGTCTTTTTGTGAATTAATATGTGGCAGAATTTCTCCCGATGAAGTTACACATGTAACATTTTGCTATATATTTGTATTTAGCAAGTATATGTCCCGTAAAGGGTAATTGACCACGATGCCGTTAAATCTCGATGTTCTTTGTCGGTCACCCAACCAGGAACCTGCGATGTCTCGAATTCGCTTAACCTTTGTGACTTCACGTAGTTAACTATTTCGGCTAGCGACGTCGGTTCCGCGGTGTGACCTTTGAATAGAACCAACCCAGCATTCGCCTGGATGACTGAGGGAAACCACGAAAATCTGTCAGGATAGCTGGCACGGTGATTGAACCCGGGACTCCCGAATACGACGTCAATGCGCTAGGCGAGGGACTTCACTTGGTATTTTCCTGTGATTGGTGGGCAAGACAACTAATTTTGCTTTAGTGTTTAGCGGATACTCGAAGTCTCTTTGAAAATGTACCGTTGAACACCAGTACACGATGCGTTGTCTACCAATCAGGGTCGAATGTCACATGTGTAACATGAGATTTCTTATCACTTATTCTCTGTCAAAGTGTGATCAACTTCGACCTCCATACATTACCTAGAATGTTGTAACATTTATTCGAAAACACCTTTAGGAGCAATGATTTCTCAATGTTACGATTTGAAAGTAATATTTGTAGGATTAAAATAGGCTTTATAGTCCGCTTTCAATTACCTCGCTCATTTTTTGTTCCAGTTTTGTTCCACCGCTTCTATTATGGGCGTTCTTCGCACTGTTGTCATCTCAGCCCGTGAGAGGTGGCTACGAGCCTCCTGGTCCACGCTATCGATGCCCGACGCCACCTAGTCAGTACCACCCCTGCTCTTGTTTTCCAGGGGAAGATGGACTACACATTAAGTATGTTCTAATTTCATTGTATATTGAATATTCAAATATTAACAAATTCGAAATAAACTGAAAAAAACATAGATTAATCATAAGATGTATATACAGCAAGAAAAGAATAACAATGGTTACAGGTGATAATGTTTGGAGGATGTGTCTCACGACGATTGATAGAAGAGAACACAAAATATGTCTTCATTTAACACTTAAATTACAAAGTAAACACATGAGACTTTCTCTTTTCCAAAGTTAGTTAACAGATTGTAATAGTTGGTGGTTTCGATGATATTACTAAGCGAAATTTTTGATCGCTTCTGTTTACAAGCTATTCATTGCTATTGCAGCATTATTATGTAAACGTAAAATTACGTATTCTAGTAGCTCGTAAGGTAACACGACCAGGAAGGCAAGACAAGCATAATTGCATGGACACGTTGAAGGCTCGGAGCGGAAGGGAAAAGGGGAGAGTAAGAGAGCGGCTCATCAGTGGACCTCTCTCTGCGGTCACCTCCGTAAATGTCAAAATCGGCTCTAATTGACCAGCAAATTTACAAAATAACCAAGGAGGAGAGAATTAGTTCAACCGTGCCCAAATGGGAAAACTCTTTCCATTGAAACAATTAGGTAATAAAGTATTGAAATAATTGTTGAAAAAATTGTTTGTTATAAGTGAACAGCATAGATTGTTACAATATATGAATGTAATATTTGCTGTACAAGAGCATATTAAATGAAGGGGGAAAACACCTTTATTTTTTTTCCATTTTAGATTCTATAGTTAAAAAATTGTACACTGTTTTGCTCCACGTTTACTGACGCAATACAACACAAAAAATATAAAACATAGGTAGTAAATAACTCCATGAAACATGGATCACAATTTTTAGAGAGTGTAACAAGGGTGTTTCTAAAGACTCTTGAGAGAAGAGTACCCAAACGTGTGTTAGATTTCATGTAAGCTTCCGATAACTGTACAGCTTATGCTTGATGTGTTGGCGTAGGTGCGAGAACGCCAACCTGGCGATCCTGAGCACCGCCTTCTACAACATCGCCGCCACCCGGGCGCCCATCGAGCTGCTCGAATTGGAGCGTTGCCACTTCGGTGAGTCACGAGGCGACTTGCACTGGCCTTTCTAGAACGTTCATTGGAGTAGCGGTAAATCGACCAGAAAAAAACTGCATTGAAAAACAGTGCACCGCTTCAGCTCCCCTTGATACGTCATTTTGTCTAGTCTCCTGGAGAACGTGCGTTGAAAGAATGCAAGGAGAAAAAAAGTCTGCTTGTAACATTATTGTGATATTCACGTCATCTTTGACATTAGAGATCCATTGTAGGAGAATACGTAATTAACAATACACATACATTTCGCTTAGAAGGAGACATGTTCAATGTGAACCTGTAAAAAATATTTCGATGTACTTTCACAAACATTTCAATTTTTGCAAGGTTACTGAATCAAAAGTCATTGCGCTCCTGTACATAATAAGAAAGGAAATACGAAATGAAACGTAGATGAAATTCACGCACATTGAGAACCTGTGTGAAAATGCAACTTAGAAATAATTATTTTCTTTCGTTAAATATTTGATAAAATGAAAATTGACATTACATAAATGCTGTTTCTATTACACCTTTGACAATTTTTAAAATGTACGGGGCCGTCGCGTAAAGTACCCCCCTAAATTAAAATATCGGTGTCACATTCCAGCGGCCGTGACATGGCATAGAACGATTGGGGAATATCCACTTCAAAGAAAATCGGTGGAAAGGTTTAGGCGCTAGCGCTGTGCGCAGACGGACGGACGGACAGACAGACATTTTGCCGTCAATCGATTTTTCGGTATGAAGGACCAACAAAACATGGATTCTGGCTACACCACGTCGAATTATTTTTATATATCTAGCAACTGGATTTATCCTCTTTTTCATTACTAGGGCCCAGCAATAAGAGTTTTTTTGTCGAATATTCCCCGTTTTCCGGCGCACGATTACAATACTTTTTCTTTTTACGTAAGTGGGAGAAAGTAATAATGTTTCGGTCAATATTTTACCAGGAAAATCATGACTTCCAACATGTTATTCTAAAATTCTTTCGCGATCTTGGAATCTAAGGAGTACTGTGAAACTGTCCGTATCTCTGAAGAAACGTCAAGAAATAATAAGCAGAAAGGCATTTTTGAAAACGGAAAAAATAAACAAAGCGCTGAATTTATTTATTTGTTATCTTTCATAAACAATTTTATATTAGCAGGTTCAGCTTATAACATCAAGATTATCATATTTTCAATTACAAACGTTGATGTCAAGACGTGTTTTAAAGTAAAGTAATATTAAAAATTTTATATTAGGTAACTTTTATGTTTATTAATAATAATGTGTAAATAATCATTTTAAATTAAAATAGATATTAGTTTAAAATAGCTGCAAATTAATATAATTAATACTGGTCACAGCTTAGTGTAGAAATGAATTTGCAGAAGTTTACAATTTAAAAAAATACTTTGTGTTAAATCTAAAAGTTGAAATTTTTACTGAAGTTTCTTATCATAGCGATCAATAATGTTTGCAATTTTCAGTTTTTTATCTGGTCTCCCAACAGAGATATTAGAGTTGAAATTTTGGAAAAAATCTAAAATTTTAATTTTTGAGAGGGTGTTATATTCAAGGGGTTCCAATGATATTTTACAAAAAGTAACTATAATTTTGTGTAAAAGCACATAAAAAATTAAGGCCGAGATTCTATTTCTTCTTTGAGAAATTACTCTCTGATAATTGAACTTGATTCATTCTCGTTCCATAAATTTGGTTGCAAATAGTCTCAAATAAACCCATTGAAGGTAGGTAAATAATATTTCGATTTGTAAGCCAGAGTATACTGAACCCATTGCCTTTCATTCTGGAATGCTAAAACAACCCCGAGCTGAAAAAGAGTAAATGTCTACAAACGTGAAAATGGCTCACGGAGTAAAACAAAAATGGCCGACATTTGTAAACCAAATACAATAAAAATAAATTAAAGATGTTTTTAAACAGATAAAACAGAAGGAAATTTATGTACAAAATATGATCTTTTCTCGAGATGATCATGACGGATTCATTAAATTCGGAACCACTTAAAATTGATTGATCCCCTGAATGAAATATGTGAAAATGCTGATTCTGAAAAAAAAAAATATTGTTGCGCTGATTTTGGTACGCTGCATTTTTGTAATATATTCATCAGGGGAGTAGCATCCATGGGTATGGGTGATGTGTTACATACCCTGACAATACAAGCCATTTTCATTTTAAATTATTTGTAAATTGTCCTTTTTTGTGTTAAAGTGTTGTTCCATTCATATTTCAAGCATCGCGCCTTTGAGGTTTCAAATCTTCACGTGGATGTACAACCCATTCTGAAATGCTGCCTCGCCTGCGCTGTGAAGCAGATGTACAGCGATTCATTACATTCAGTTTACCTATGAAATTGCTATCGTGTTACGAAACTTTATTGTTTTCTTCGGTATTTCTACGAGAACAAGATTAATTTATGAGCAGTGTAGTTTCATTTAATTTTATTACCTTATAATTATGGAATAGTATTGTTGTGCCGTGGAAAAATTGAAAACAAGAAGTATGCAAACTCTAAGATTCTCTGAAGAGGAAAATCTAGTTAAAGAAGGCAAAAAAATCAACTCTCAGTATCATAACGAATATTAAAAAATGACAGAGACTTTTCAATAACAAAATTATGAACAAGAATCATGGATTTCGAGTCATGGAATGGTCTTACAAATCTATTGTGTGGATCTATTCTCAAACGAAAAAAAGTTGTAAATTTCAATAGTTACGGTATACAGTTTTAAATAATATTTACAAAGCTCTGAAGACTCATAATAAGATCTCGTACACTAGTGAAGGAGGAATATTTTAGGGGTTTTAAATAAGTTTTTCTTTTCTCGGGTTACAAACCCTAAGTCAAAAATCAGGCTACGCCACTGATATTCAAGTACAATATAAGATAAAAATAGTCCTTTCACTTATATTTAATTTGTTTTCAATTAACAAAAAACGAAGTTTCTAAAAGCAGTAAAGGTAATAAACTTGTTTCACCAAAATAATGACTGTTGCCACTTCAAATACCTTTTAAATACCCTGAGTTCTGGCGGGGGGAGGGGTCTTGTGCATCGTGCCTGACTTCATCCAATGAGCTTCAGATACCAGTTTGCGTCACAATATTAGCGGGAATTTTATATTCAGCTATATCCTAAAATGATCACATTAGGAGCACATACGGAGCACTTTTTTAACATTACCTCTTTTATTTCAATAGTACCTTCATCGTGTAATTTTTGGTTGGTCACCGTTTAAAAATTGTCAGTTTATGTCACTCTCAAAATGTATCTCAACACTTGTCGCTCTCCATGCTCCATGCGGCCAGCGTCTAGTCTGGCTTTTCAAAGGGAGTGCGAGTGCTGTGGTCACGTGGTTCGGGACGCAAACTGGTACTGCGCAGAACGAGCAGAAATGGGTACGCCAGAGTAGCTCACCCATATCTTTCCACTGTGGGTTCTGGGACGCAACCGATCACCGAGCGCCTGTCAGAAAGTGTAAAGGTTCGTGATCGTCGATCGTGCGTGTGCGCAGAGAGGCTGTACGGGGCGCTGCTGCAGCCGCTGCTGGTGCGCGTGCTGCGCGTCAGCGACACCCCGCTGCGGCGCGTGGAAGCGGACGCGTTCGCGGGCACCGTGGGCACGGCGCTGCGCCAGCTGCACATCACGCACACGCGCCTGCACGACTTCCCCTCGCTCGCGCTGCAGGTGAGCGCTCCCCCTCCCCCTCCCCCTCCCCAACCGCTTTCGCCGCTGGGACGCCCATCACCGGCGGATCTGAGCGTTTATGTCCCGATGGTGGCTGGTTTTCGACAATAGCTACGCAGCTAGCTCCAATTCAGTCGCTGTCTCGAGGAGAATTCTAGCGGCCGGCGAATCGGATCGGCAGTTTTCCATGGTTTCTCCGATCAATAAAAGATGGATGCCGGAGTAACAGTTAACATACAAAATTGTATGTCTCATATTTATTAAGACATTTGAAATGACAGTACTGGTTTCACGTTCACAACATTCCAAAAGCATTACATACTTGTTTGAAAGACCCTATTTGTCAGTTGCACGCTTACCGCACGTGTCACATCGCTTCCCACACTCACAGATCGACACGCGCGTTGCTGATCACTGGTTGCTACGCGTTCTCGCATTAACACTCCTGCCCATCTCTTGGACCATTCTTGGGCAATTCTCCCATGGAGGACGGCTAGCTATGTGTATGAGCTCTATCGAAACGGATTACACTCATCTCGCAGACTGATTTCGCATTGCTCTCCGTGATAGAGATACTCCCACAGTCATCTGTTGTAGTGAACACACATGAGTACATCTCTTTCATGCAACAAATCAAATTGTCTGATTTGATAACACTTCAAAGTAAAAGTTTCCATGACGTATGCCCCTACTCTCGTGGGTCGAAAAACACAGAGTTGGCTTAATCATTGTACATTATAAAACGTGTTGGACAACAGAAGTTGGGCCGTACCAAAAATGCCGCCCTCAGAAATAGTTCTGTAGATACAACTATGAGCAAGACAATAATTTATTCCTTATTAACTAGATGGTTTTTCGATATCATACACATTGTACAGCAGTGGCGAATGCAAGGGGGCACGCGTCCATAATCACCCAAAGCCAACATTTACTACATTTATTCAAACCAATTACCATTATGAATACGCTTGTTAATTTTTTTATTCCAAGCCAAACAAATTAAATGTATAAAAATATTTATATGAAATATGAACTAAAATTCCTGAAGTAAGGACTTTTACGAGCTTCATTATCAATCATACAAATTGCACAACAAATATGAACAATATGATTTTAATTTCTGATATCTGCAATTTAATCTCTCAATAGCGGACTCGCTCAATAAGTTCTCGCTAAGAGAGCCTTTATTGTCCCTGCTAGCAAATCAACAATCTAACTGAACTTCGCGTGGTGGGTCACAACATCACCACTCTACCCAGAGACGCCTTTTCCGGAGGCAAAGTGGCGGAGCATTTGGTGAAGCTCACTCTCTCCGAGGGCCCGCTCACCGCGCTGGCCCCCGCCGCGCTCGCCCCTCTGCGCCGCCTCAAGCGCCTCGACGTCTCCTACAACAACATCAGCAGCCTCCAGCGCGCACAGTTCAAAGGTGAGCAGGACGCGGTTGCGAGCGCCGCTCATGTCAACAAATGCTCACTTCCATCCCCTCAGCTGTCCGCGGAGACCGCGTTCTAGGCACAGATGCCAACGTTTCCGTCGTCAGGCTGCAATTTCTCGACACGTTCTCATCTGTGCCCAGGAAGCGGTGTCTCCCAGGGAACCAAGTAGATATGACACCGTCCGCGGAAGCCTTACTTCTGCTTCGTGTATTGATGTCCAGCCTAACCCGACTAAGTGGGATATCATTCACTTTATTCTAACTTAGGTGCCATTAATATTTTGTTAGCTCGCCACATGCTTTGATTACTGCCTGGCATCCTTTAGGTATCGATAGAATCAAATTATTAATAATTTCCTTACTCAATTCAAAACCACACGCAACCACACACATTACGTCAATTTTATTTTTGGGTTTCTCTTTCGCCACAGCATTCCCCATAACCTTTCAAAAGTTTTCAGTGGGGTTGAGATCTGGGCTATTGACAGGCCTCTCTAACACTTGCACCCCATTTTTTGCATGAAAGACTTTACCTAAAATGAAACAAATAGCATTCACCGAAACATACTAATCGCATGTATTTAACCTCTGCTCCACACACTCAACAAAAAGCATTCACATAACTTACCTTTAAAGCTCTGTGGCAAGAAGGAGATTCATCTGGAAAAATGCAACATGAAGCATTACTAAATCTCATTACCGTCGCCACTATCAGAGTCTTTTATAAAGTCGAGGCGACCAACCCCATGGCTAGAAATGTATTTCCAGATCACTTGTCCTTGGGGATGCTTCACTAAGCTGTCATATGCTTGCCTAAAGTACGAAGACAAAAAATTCTTCACCCCTTCTGCGGCGAAAATACGGTATTCCATTGGAGACATGCAAATTAAATGTGGACTTATCAGAAGAGAGATCTTTATCCCACATATTTGTGGACCATGTTACATTTATGCTCTTGCTGTGTAGTCCCTTTTGTCGCATTTTTTCATCCGTAAAGGCTTCTTTCTGGGACGACGGACAGGAATCCCTGCCGCAATGAGACTACTCCGAGCAGTTCTACTAGTAACAGAAATGTCGCGCGTTTCTTCCCATTCTCTTTTCTTATCTGTAGATGAGAGTCGGCGACCACTAAGACGGATTAATTTTAGAATTCTAACTTGCTTAAGGGTAGAAGTCTTTCCTCCGTCTCCCTTTCATACGATCAACATTTACATTTTTCATGTAGTTTTTTACAAGCCATGAGATGGAAGACTTATGAAAATCAATCTTGAAAGATATATCTCGAGTACTGAGTCCAACAGAGGAATAAGCAGATATTGAAGCTTTTTCTCGACTCCTTTGTTCATCTCTACTCCTTTGCCCATTTTGAAACTTAAATTGTTTCACTAGAAATGGATCAACTAGATTTGTTTTAAACAATCATTGTTGATAAATAATTATGAATTCTCAGAGTATGTTCCTGGAGGTCAACAATAGAAGTAAAAATCCAAAAACTCAACCACTGAACAGCTATTCAGAATTTTACACTGTCTTTAATACAAAATGTAAAATAATGAATGGTGATGCAATAATTTTTTCCACCGTTGTACGTACGTATACGGGAAAGTATAAATGCCCCAAGAACAGACAAACCGAAAGAACGTCAAATCTTTTGTTAGCAAACACACACAAATCTTAAGTGAAAAAAAAAATCACACACGTTTTACTTTTTCACTAATACAGTTTTTTCATATAAAAATGCCGGACTTCGTAATTAGTATCACTAAGAAATTTTTCACTAATCCAGGTCACACTTATCTACTCTTTGACTAAGCACACTGGTGTTTGTGAAAATTGCAATACTAAGAAGGAGACATGCTATTACATTGAAATATATTTCAAAGATTAGGAATATCGCAATATATAAATGATTAGAATTACAGAACTATACCTGCATTTTAACCTTGAGAATTCAGTACAATGTGAAGCCGCCACTCGCTGCCATGAGAGCCACGAGACGTCGTGACGTGGATTCAAAGAGAGCCTGAATATACTGACATGCGGTTTCTGTGCGTGACCACAAAGCATCGACAGTGGCTGCAGGAGGATCAGAACTAACAAGTTGCCGACCAGTCATATCCCAGAAATGTTCGATGGGCGACATTTTAGGTGAACGTGCGGGACAGGGAAGTAGTTGCACCAGTTGTTCTTCGCAGAAATCTTGCACATTCCGTGTCACATGCGGTTGGGTATTGTCCTGCTGAAATATGGCAAGTGGAGCTGTTTGCAGGAGGGGTAGTACTTCGGTTTCTAAAACCTCCCTGATGTTGCGGTTGCAGTTCAAATCGCCCTCAAGGCGTATTAGGCGAGATCGCACATTTAGCTAATGGCGCTGCAAATCATCATCCTTGGCGTTTGACCGCTATGGCGCGGAACAATGCTGGTTGGCATTTTGCGATCACCACGGTAGAGTCGAACACTTATGTGGCTATCGCAGTAGCACAAATTGAAGAGGGAATCGCTCGAAAACACTACATTTTGTCACTCAGCATTCTAGTGACCACATTTTCCTGTCTGAGGCGTTGGTGGTTTCTGGTCAACGGAATCTAACGCAGTGGTATGCGTGCCACCAGTCCAGCCGTTAGCAGACGGCGTCAAACCGTCGACTTACGAGCACACCCGATGAAGTGCTAAAAGACGAGCCGACACTGTGGATGACGCTGTTGTGTCGGTTCCGGCCTTGCGAACAAGATGGCAGTCATCTCACGCTGTGGTCTCATTGTGTGGTCCAGTGCCCGCTCGTCGCTGTGTACGACCCTCCTCTACTCACTGGTTCCACTCGGATCACTCTCGTAGCAGCGCTCGTTCGAGCCGCAATGTCAAGGTACGACAAACCCACTTCCCGGAGACCGAACATTCTGCGCCGTTCGTCTCACTCAGATGCTGACATTGCGCCCTTTGCGTCGGAGAGGCAATCCGGTACTTGCTTGCCCGTTTCCACGTCGTTTAACGGCTCTACACCGGCTGAGTGTGGCGTAACACTGATCTGATGTCACACAAAGGAGGGCGGTGCCAGGACAACGTTCACGCTATCTCTATGCAAATTTAATCACTTCTTATGGGCACACTGTTCTACACATCCATCGAATTCATGTAATTCAGACCATTCTTTCTGGGTGTTGCAATTTTCACAAACACCGGTGCAGTTAAATAGAATTCTATTTCACTACCGTAATATATTCCATTTCAGTCTAAGAACTACTTTATCGCCAAAGCCACAAACACTTTTTTGATTTCCATCGTTTTATATCGTCTAGGCACTTATGCATACAATACGTCTAGCGACGTATTTGTGCAAGTGCTGGCGGATCTTTCTCCACGCTTCATTGGATTACTCTGATTCCGTCTTATTTTAACGATGGTATGTCACTTTATTTCATCCTTCATTTTCATTCGCTTATTAGCTGGATTAGATATATGCACTTTATATGTATTCTTGATATACGTTTTATATCATTTTACAAATTGAAAATGATATGCTTTTTCTAAGATGGCTTTTGTTTATAAACATTTCTTAAATTTCTATTACCTTGTCTCTTTCAGTAGAATTAATTGTAAATACTTATAAAACTATTATTCAGATAGTAATACATATGCATCATCAAATGCTTTTGAGAAAATAAAAGGAATAAAAACAATGAGAAAGAACAGAAGGGAAGCATATTATCTGAAGACAATGTTATAAATTTAACATAACATTTAACATTTAACATTAAACATGCCTTTAATGACATTTTTATGAAATTTTCGCAAAATTGTTCGGTGTATTTGTTTTTAATTAGCTGGTTTACATTTCTAATGCTTATTTACATTGTGTTTGTATGCAAAATATTCAGCTCAATGTTGCATTTTCTTACGTTATTTCACTTCTTGAAAACTGTATTACAAACAACATTTATGCTTTTTATGAAAAGCATGATAATTTACGCACTGAACTAAAATACGTCAATATTATACTGTTGTTCAGTATGTAGGTATGCATGAGAAATGTAGGATTATGTTTAAACTACCTTTGATGTTCCATTAATAAATCCATATGAAATGTCTTGGCTTCACTGAATAATTTTATTTCTCTGCATTTCTTGAGGTGTTTTGGGCACTTTGTATTTTTTTCTATTTTCGCTACAGGTTTACGTGATTGTGAAGTGCTTGATTTGTCACACAATGGTCTGGAGAAAGTAGAAGCTGCTCATTTTGGGGACCTGACTCGGCTTCTTTTCCTGAACCTCAGTCACAACCACTTATCGAACTTACCCAGGTGAACTGTCATTTGTGTTTTTACAGATATAATACGATTTTCATTTATTACAGTTTCTCCGCTGGATATCAAATAGTATACGTAAAAGTTCTTCTTTGTAATCTTGAGAATCTATTTGCTTGGTTAAAGTTACTCTTCTTCCTATATCTGTATTAACATTGAATTTCCGTTTTCTTAACCATTATTTTTTTATGTTTTTGTCATTCACTTTGTCCTTCATTAACATATGTATTTTTGTTTTAAATAATACTATATTAAAAAACACAGGATATGAATATTGAAACATCCTAAAGTCATTGTCCTTTAAATGTCAATGAATTATTTACTCAATTCCGTAAACAAATCACAACAATCTGATTGGCACATTCTTCACGTTACAAACCAAATTGTGAATTCATCAAAGATATTTTACTAGGCTTCATCAAATGTTCTTAATGGCATATTTCGGTAACCATTCTTCAGAGTTATATGTCTGTTTACGAATATTTGTTATTTTAATGTAATTTTTAAAATTATAATGTTTTGTAATATATAGCTCATCCATAGTAACAGAAATTGCGTCTTTAGAATGCAATGCGTGATTGATTGTTAATGCTTCGAGTACTAAGGGTCATTATTCCCGTAAGTGTAGTGAATGTGTTTGTTCGGTTAGTGGTGGCAATCTACCCCCGCTGTATGGCGAGATCCGGTGCCGATCTCACGTCGGCTAGCGGAGTTTTCCCCAATTTCCTCTTTTTCCCAACCAGGTATCTCCCATCGGCGGGGCACCGCTCCAACCGGGGCAAACTCTAAGCTCCCACCATGTGTAGTTGTGTAGTACATGTTTTTGTATGTGAGGATAGGACAAGGAAGAGGTAGGAATGATCTCGAGAGGTCCGTGGCCCGTTTGTTAGGGTACTGCTCCGGTATTCGGATGGTGGACGGAAAACTACCAATCAGAGCAGTTGGCCGCTAGAATTCTCCTTCATATAGCGACTGAAATCGACCTATGTGACAGGCTAATGTCGAAAATCCTACTATTGCCGGGACTCAAATTTAGGACTTCCCGATCACAGGGACTGCAGTGACATTAGTTGATGCCCTGAGCCATCTATCCCGGTAATGCAATGCTTGACATCGTAATTTAAGTAACATTTTACGAATAATTGTAAGTAAAGTTAAAGAATCAAAAGTTCCTTGTTTAGAAGTTTCTCAGAAAAAGTTTGTGAAGAAAGAAATTCAAAATATTTAATAACTGTCATTTTTTTTTAATGAAAGCAAATCTTGTTCCACTTGTTTGCTACTCAACATTTACAATCGCTTTGCTGCCAAATGACAGTTTCGAATCTCAAGTAAATTTTTTAGGAGGCACTCTTTTGTTAAGTTGTTTGCGAGGACATTCACCTCAATCCAAGGATATTTGGATTTTGCTTCTTACAAACTGCAATTGTAACGAACTATTTTTTGAAAACATTTTTTCAGTCAGCAGTTACGATTCAATATTCCTAACGGGTTAGGCGGAAGTGTGGGCTTGGTTCGAGAACGTCGCTTGCAATTAAAGCAATTACAAATACAATTACAATGGCTCCAGAAGCAGCGTAGACCGCAGCCACGACCACGGCGTGCAGCCGGTGCGTGGAGCGAAGCAACGCCAGGCGGAAGGATGAAAGCCGCAATGAGAGCGCTCCTTGAAGTATCGGGTTCCAAAACAGCACGGACATTTATAACTGGAATTCCTCGTACGCAAGGCCAAAATAATACTACTTCAGAATCCGGCAACGAGTGTTTACAATCAGGTTATTCAAAAAACCATTGCCATATATCAAACGATTAGTAAGACTCGGCGTTACACATGTCTACAAAGTATTGAATTGAATTGAATTGAATTTGCCTTATTTTACGTGGTGAGACTCGGGCCATCAGGCCCGCTCTTCCGTCTGACCACGCAAATTCCGATACGCTCCTTTCACCATCTAGGAGAGAAAGGAGGTATTTCTTGGGCGAGAAACAGGCGATTTGAATTTAGCTCAGAGGCGTCAAAGTAAAACTACAAGGAATGAAACAATCACGAACATTAAAGTACCATATTGATCTTGGCATTTGGCCGGGATTGCAGTGTGTCCACAACTCGTAAGAGGACTCTATAGAACATGTCTCGTGCGAGGTTTGTAAGTTCATTATCCCATACCTATAATTCATAATTTAAATTTTACATACACTATTGTGAGTATGTGATGTCGGCTTTTCTCGTGTACCAAATTACATATATTTTTCTAAACCAAAATAGAAACGAAATGCGTTCGGATATCTTCAGTGAATCAAGCATTCTCAAAACTCTCGCTTCGACAGAGGGCAATGAAGTTTTAAAGCGATAGGCTTTAAAGGAACGAACATAATCAACTCTGTTCCCTTGCATGTATTTGTGGCAGCTCGTAAATGAAAATATTTTATTTTATGACTAGAGCAAATCCTACCACGCACAATCAACTTTTTGTTTTGTTTTTGTTTGTTAACGGTTCCTCAGTGTTTATGTGGTGATTTTGAAAAATTGCTCTGAAACATTAACGAACGTTACTTTTTCCAATATTTACTTTCCAATCGTTACTTTTTCTAATATTTCACATGGTTGGACAATAATATCAGAATTTTTTCTGCATTATTGCTCAGAATGTTTTCACCGCCTTCGCTATTTCGGTACCCTCAAATTGAGTATTTCCTCAGCACTGGGGAAAACACTATCGCCTTGACACAGGATTGATTGACAGATTGTTTTAGTGATTCCGGGCACGTCAACTACTAGGGTCATTAGTCCCGTAAGCGTAGTGCATGCTTTGCTCGGGAGGTGGCGTAGGCCTACCTACGACCGGCCGACCTACCGTCGGCTAGCAGGGATCCCCAACCAGGTATCTCCCATCAGCGAGGCACTGCCCCAGCCGGGACAAACACTAAGTTCCCGACCGGTATCCCGGCACGTGTGCTTGTGCAGCGTTAACGTAAGCGTGTGTAGGACAAGACAAAGAAGAGGCAGGAAAGATCGCGCGCGCGGTCTGTGGCCTGTTTGTTACAATACTGTCCCAGCATTCGCCTGGTGTTGATTGGAGAAACCACGGAAATCTTCCGATCAGAACAGCCGGCCGCTAGAATTCTCCAGACAACAACTGAATTCGAGCTAGCTGACAAGGTAGTGTAAAAAAAAATCCCGCCACCGTCGAGACACGAACCTGGGACCTTCCGATCAGAGGGACTGTAGTGACATCAGTTGATGCCCTGAGCCATCTCTCCCGGTCTTGACACAGGACTTTTTATAAAACAACTTCTGTCGAAGAGATGATTTTATTATAGTTTCTTGCTCGTGATCATTTGATATGTTTCACTTACGGCTCGCGGAGGATACCCACCGCTTGATCACTTTCTTATCTTACTTGAAAGCTACACCTAATCACCTGTTATAGCTCAGTCATCATTATCCAATAAAATATAGTCATAAAAATTCCTTATCATTTTTATTATTTGTCGTTGCTTTGCCACATTTATTTTAAATTTATTTTATTCTGATGTAACTCTCCTCTCCACCGGTAGACTTACAATGCGCCTTTCAACGGTTTTTTGTTGTTATAGTACTTCAGTACTATCAGAAAACTCCCACAAAGTTTGAGTCATAGCGATATAAAAGAATGTACTTTGCAAGGTTTAGTGTCAGCTAGTGTTAGAAAGTGCTGTTGCCGGACCAACAGTCTAAAGGCATTTTTGTGGGTTTGATCCACTTATTCCGGGTTCGAATTAAGAAATGTAGTGGAATGACCGATGTTTTGTGCACTATATCTCGGTCTATAAGATATCGAACTCAGCTGTTAAAATATTTGAGATCGAGAAAGCAGTACCCGATTTACGCATGAATTGAGATGGACTTAGATTTTCGGTCAGATTGTGCTCACACTCTTCAAGGAGTTACCTTGTAAGTTGATAGGAATCCTTCCTTCATTAGAGCTACAATACAGATACACTGGGGCCAAATACATATGAACAGCATGAATACGCTGGAATCCAGTATATTTTTTTCGGAAGCTTCCCAAATATTAATAAGTTAGCGTTAATACTTCTTTTAATACTTAATTTTACTTTTTAGTTAATTCGTGTAATAACCAATTAGGAAACGACCACAATGACTCTCGGCATTGCACTAGCGTTAAGTTCACATTTGTATTTCTTATATTGCTTTCAAATTACTACATAGAGCATACTCAAGGAGGAAACAAGGAAACTTCGAAAATAAACTCTTAAGACAATTATAAATGTATTTACTCTAATAAACTCATGTTGCATTTTGAATAGTTGAACTGTAATAAGCAAGTAAAAGTTCGGTCAAGAATATGAACAACTCAAAACACACTTCAGAAACGTGTAAATTGTTTATTAGATGCTAAACTAAAAACATTTGTTTGCAAAGAAAATATGAAATAAATGAAAAGCAATTAAACGGTTTTAATTGAGTATTTACGAAACATTTGGTATATCTGACACTGAACACATTCTGTCTTCCGTGGCTCGTCTTTAACTTATCACTGCTGTTGTAGAAGAAGGGTAGCTAGGTAACCAGGTGACTTGTTGTAAGTGTTGCCCAAATGCAATATAATGAATCAAATTTTTGTTGGGCTTACACTCCTTGACTGAGTTCCTTCAGTCTTTTACTATAAACTCTGTTTTTTCCAACTATCTGATGGGACCATAGATTTTTTTTCAGAACAACTTGAGAAGTAAAATTTAAAGTTTCATCGTTTCTTCCTTGGACACCTATATTTTTAATGTAATGTTACCATTATTTGAGAAATTATGGGAGAGTTTTTTTAAAAATATTGTTCATTTCAATTACAGATATTTGTATTGTGTTTTTATTCACAGGTCAACGTTTGCCCGAAATTCGTTATTGTTGGTCCTGAATTTAACAAGTAATGCTCTTCCAAAGATCGATGTAACAACATTTCGTGGAATGCGATCAATCCGCAGACTCTACCTAGCATACAACAGAATAAGTGATGTAGCACGAGGTGCATTTGATTCCTTAACACGTGTTGGCACAATTGACTTAGAAGGCAATCGCCTCACAACTGTTGGATTCCAAATGTTTCAACGACTAACATTAATAGAGGTAAGGCTGACTGAAAAAGAACTGTAATTGTATAATTGTAAGAAGTACTATTGTAAAGAATCTGTAACAAGTATTGCACTTAAGCTTCTGGATCAATGACCCCTATCTCGATCAGGTTTTCGTCCAGTTTCCCTGATCCTTGAGGAAATTCAGAGATGGTCCCTTGTTTTGCTTCTGGACATAAATGTAACTTCAAATTAACGTCTCCCCATCGTCATACACAGTTCTTAACTGTTTTTGACGTAAATAAATAAAAAATAAACTATTATAGAACTTATTTTCTACTAGGGTGATCAAGGTATCAGTGGCATTACAATATAGACGTATAGAAGACGTCTGGCCGAGATATCATTTTTCAATCCATCCGGTATGATAATCAGTACCTAGCTTTAAATTTGATAACACTTGTAGTATCAATCAGTCAACTTTCATGATTATCGTAGTCTAAAGAGAAATTAAAATTCTTGAAGTCCTTCTGATCCTTCTACTCGTCAACGTCTCATTTAGAGATATACTATACTAAAACTTTTCACAGAATCACTGAAATTGAGTGAAAAGAACGACGCACTAGAATAGAGGTGTTGTGGTGCGTTATCGTTGGCATTTTTCATGAAATAATTATAGACGTTGTCATCGCCAACAATAGTATTTAATATAAGACGCACTAGAAACTTGATAATTATGGACGCATTTGAAGAAATTTTGTGGGCTTGGTTTATTTGGCCGAGACCTTTTGTATAGTTACTTAATAATTTTCTTATTTTTCAGCGCATTCATTTAGCCCGAAATAACATCACTTCAGTGGAGGCTGGAGCATTCAAAGAAATTGTTTATGCTCACATTGATCTTAGCCACAATGCAATAAAGAAAATACCAGCCGGGACATTTATACAATGTACAAATTTGACAAGACTTGACTTAAGTCACAATCTTCTAACTGGAATAACTAAACGAGCTCTCGATGAGCTCTCCTATCCAGGTGAACTTGATTTATCCTTCAACAATATATCAGACTTTACCCAGGTAAGGAAAACAGTTCATTAAATATCGAATTTTTAAAGTATTCAACGATTAAATTCAAATGTATATGTATCTAGTCGCTTCAGCCATGAATCAATTCTGAAGCTTTCGGAAATATCTCATTACAAAAAGACAAATTATATTTTACATGCTCATTCCGCGAGTTGAAAACTTCGTTATTTCATACACTAAATCAATGAGTCATCCAAGAATTCATTGAATTTTTTTCGGGGGTGAGGGGAAAGGTAAATATCTAAAACTTAAAAAAGGGTGTATTTCATGTCATATATGTTATTATATTTTTTATCAACTTAACTTCTGTAATCTAGCTCACTATGTGGGTAGCAAGAGTGGCAAAGTAAGGAAATGGAAAACAAACTGGACTTATTCGCGAACTAATAGGACGTGGGGCCTACTCTCTGCACACACGTGAGCAAAACTATTCAATCTGTGCCTTCTGCCACGGTTCGTATTCCCATGAAACAACTTTTCAACTATCCTGCTGAGAACTCGTTAGCCGCAAATAACATTGAACTTAAAAGGTTGCCATTGTGATTCCAATTTCACGTTTTTTAAATTGATAAAAGAAGGGATGTATTGTTTATTTTTTAGTCTGTAGAAATAGCTGCTCTTATTATTTCTACCTGACTCCTCGATCTGATGGGTAGATCTTTCCGTTGCAAGGTTTTGTGTTAAGGATATCTGATCTGGGCAGACGTTAATGAATGACCTATAACAATTTTTTGAAGTCTACGGCAATCCACAGTGTGGAACTGTTTTTCGTTTATTGCCTTGTATTCGTCTGAAGAACTTTGGAGTTATCTACGAAAACTTTGTTACAGTACATTTAGGCAAGCACATGTAAACATTCAAGATTCACAAACTAATTATTTGACTTCGCTGAATCGCTTGTCAATTAATGTCAAGTTGCCACTTTTATTTTTCACTACATTACTTTTACAGTTCAAAAATAGATGAGTGCCAATTAATAATTCATGATTTTCTCGTTAAATATTAAATGTTCACAATAAATTAGTACATTAACGATAGTATTTGGTGTGTAACATTATTCACGTTTTTGAGAAACTTTTTTACCGCAATTTGGCAACACGAACATCTTAGGCTGATTAAACGACAATAATAATACTTAATATTTTAACACAATTTAAATTCTTTTACATTACGTTAAATTACGTAAAACACTTAAATTAAATTACATTAACTACATTCTTTTAAACTAGTAATCTTGAATAAATGCATTATAGAAGATTTAAAACTACAATAATAATTTCATATGAATATTAATATTCAAATTAATTAGTTCTTATTTATTTCTTAAGATTGTAGAGATTATATATTAAGCATATATCGAGAATAACATATTATCAATTCATACAGCTAATATTTTTTCGTAGTATGCAATGTTTTAATTTTATCTTTGTTTTAGGTGCCGTTGCAGAATATGACAGGTCTTCGTGTGCTGAATATATCACATAATCGAATCGACGCTATCCCGCGCAATGCGTTTCCAAAATTGTATGAACTCCACACGATCGATCTTTCGTACAACAATTTGTCGGAGATATGGCCAGGCTCTTTCCAGCCGCTCTTTTCCCTGCGGAGCCTGGACTTGGCGCACAACGCCCTGCGCGAGTTGCGCGGCGGAAGCCTAGGGGCGCTGCACACGCTGCTGCATCTGGACCTGGGCCACAACGACTTGCAGGTGATGTTATTATCCGCGCACATTTTCTTGAGCCTTCATTTCGCTAGGAGTTGTATTTTGACGACATAGACCGAAAGTTTTACAACTAATGTTAGTAAAAGAGTGAGAGAAGAAATTCCGGAACTCAAGAAAAATTGTGCAAGTAACGACCTGCGCCAGTGGCAAGTAACGGCCTGCCTCAGTGGCACTTTGCTGGTGAGACTGCTAGCAACTGAACTTATGTTCGTAGCACGAGCTATAGCTTGTCACAAGAAAATGCGTAAATTACGCAATTACCACAATCGTAATATATGCTACGAGAAATGTTCCCTTCACTTGTTTCCCGGTGATCTGCTTGCTACCTACTTAAATGCAGTTTTGAACAGGATGCCCTGATTCGGCTCGGCAGAGACTTTTCTGAGCGCTGTACCTGTTTCACAAGGCTTGCTGTTGATGAGAGCTAGTGTGCGCCATGAGCACTTGCAAGATATATGTATGGGAAAATCTTGATTTTTTTTATTTGATTTATTTTGTCAAAGAACAGTAAAAACTGTATGTGACGTAAGGGGGACAATCTGCGCACATTTTCTTGAGCTCCAGAATCTCTTTCCCACATTTCAGCCATAAATAGTTGAATGAATGAAAAGAACAAACAAAGAAAAGCCAGCAACCTTTCCTAATGGCGGTTTTCTGTAATTAGCAAACCTATTTTTTTCTTCCTTTCATCATTTTTCGTTCTTGTAGTACAGTAATTTGAACTTTCACTACATTTACATTATAAGAGCATTACCTGTAACCTCATTAACCTGTAGTGACCGATATTTAAATGGCACTGTTTACACACGATATTATGAGATGCTGATTACTATGCGCCGTAATAAACTATAGCGCGAATTCGTGTCAGGTGAGCCAAAATTTTATCTTTCTTTCTCTTTCACATATCGCTTTTAATACTGAGAATAGCTTCTATGGATCGGGCCGAGTGGAGCTCAAATTTTAAAATTTTAAAATAAATATATAATATAATATAATACATTTTAAAATATTTGAAATAATTCTTACAAAGGAAGACGAAGAAGAAGCACGTAGTCAGTTTTATTCTAACGCATTGCGAAAATTATCACGTTATACTAATCTTGGTGTACGTGTTAGAAATAATAGCACCGTAACCAAATTCCAAATATTTATGTAAATGATAAGAAAGAAATAAGTGGCGATATCTATGGGAACTCCAAATTACTTAGACTTTGAAAGCCTTTTATGCCAAGTCGCAATCTAACAGACCATTACTTAATTCGTATTAAAGAGAAACATAAAAATATCAACGTTTGTGTAGCATACAGCGTCTTTCACACGGCCACACGAGGTAATAACCTGCTCTTTATAACGAAGTGTTTGAGAAAATTCCGTCGTCTTCCAATTGTTTCGTATTACAGGATGTGGCCAGAGGTGCATTGACCAGACTATCGTCCTTACGAGCCATTTCAGTGCGCCACAACAATGTAAGCAAACCATTCACGCCACCGCCTTCCTTGGCTCACCTAGATCTCTCATATAACAGGTAAGAACAATCAGTACCCCTAACTAGCATCATTTATAAGATATGATTCTCTAAATGCAACAATTCAAATCGTCTTCGGAGAAATTGTCTTGAAGCCTCAATCTCAAAGAAGCATTCCTTGGAACCGTTTTAGATCTGGGAACCAATTTCAATATTTTTGTACAAGAACCCTGTGATCAGCAGGTGGGATGTTTTCTGTTGTGTTTTTATCTTCCCATATCCTTATTGTTCCTTTAATAACTTTCCATGAAAAACAAGGGTGCGGCCTATAGAACATTTTTAATTGGAAAACTTACTGTCCTCAATGTCCGAAGACACTACAGACCTAAAAAGTAAGGGACACCAAAATTAGACCTATTGGGACAGGCAACCCGCAATACGCGCTACACGTCCGTTAGTTGTGTATCGATAGCAATACCACATAGCCATTTCTGGAAGAAGGAGAAACACAGAAAAAATTAACGGATACAAGGAAATTGCCGTAGTAATGAGTAATTTTCAATACGAGGAAAATATTTTTTTATGATAGACAAAAATCAACATATCTCGTTCGTAATTGCTCAAACAGGTCTCGTCGAAACCGAAGTTCTTAAACGAAAAATGATGTGCAGAATATCCTCTCCTTTCACCTTTGGTTATCCAAGTTATTTTGTAATCACAAACATGCAAGATAACGATACTGAAATTTTTATTTTTATTTTCGATTCATTTAAGTCGAAAAAAGTAAATACATGCTTTACAGACGGTTAACATGTCTCATTTACACACCTGATCAGTGGTAAAAAAAGACTGCAAAAAATATAATAGTATAGTGAAATATATAAAAATAGTTTTAAATCAATAAAAAATTAAACTTACCCTCGTTAATAAAACTCAAATAATAAAAAATCCCATCGTCACATAAAACAGTATTTACAATATATTCGAGATACAGCAAGACAGAGCGAAATTTCAGAAAACACAAAAATACATTAGTATGTCAGAGATTGAAAGTTATTATTATATAAGTTATGATTGAAAGTATTAATTAAAGAGAGAAAATACCTTATTAACTTGAGACCATAGGTACTATGGTCTCTTATTAGATCGATTTGCCAACTTTTTTATTTTTTATTTTGGTACTGAAGAGTTCTGTAAATCTGTTAGATGAAACTTCTGAAGTATGTTTATATACTTTCTTTGACGAACCGAATCGAAAATATTACTTGTGCAAGTGCTATTACTATTATTACATATTTTAAAAAGATTGACGATGACATACCAGAGATTTCGAATTATAAATTGCTGTTCTCTAATAAATCATAGTTTAAATTATATAATATTTTAATTATGAAGGAGTGGTATATTTTATAACTCTGAATACGGTACGGTACTAATGACGATGTTTGCATTCTGATATAAATATTGAATTTCAAGAATTGTTAATAATTATAATTTTGGGCGAAAGATTCACCCTACATCCAGATCTTACTTCTCTATCTTGCATTTCCTCCAGTCTTCCTAAAATCATTGAGTAAATGCTGGAATCATCCCTTGCTTTGATTTTGGGCAATTGTATCATATTTGTAATTTTTACTTTTCCTCATACTATAGTATAGACAGAAAACATATTGAATATTAACAATACGATCTCGAATTTTCGGATCTAAAATACGTATTACGGGTTTTTTAACGTGTAACTTAAATCAGTCATCCTGTAAGTCATACTTCCTGGTATCACACACTAAATGCATATTACGACTTTATTGTTCTTCATGATGAAGCGTCTTTTAGATTCGATTCAGCTTTCGGGAGCGTCGAGATACAGTTTTTACGCCTGGCAACGGTACCCTACGTTTGTTTCCTACATTGGTTATGGATGAATTGACTGCAGCGATCACTGCTGTCAGACTGGATCATTCTTGTAAGCAACAAAAGTATAAACATTTCAAGGATGCTTTGATCGTATGCTTTGATTGTATTTGCTTTAGTCATTTTACTTATAAGCTAATAATGATCACACGATCATTTTGAGTAGTTACTGTTTAATTCCACATCGAGCGAGACTTTGTACCATACATTCATTCATATCATATCATACATTCGTGTGGTAAAACTGCAACAATTGTTCACAGATTAACAGGACAATTTTAAAGATCACTATAAATAGGGCCATCGTGATAATTACATACGTGGTACTACATGAAGTTTTCTTGAATGGAACAAAATCACCATAAAAAGAGACTTGAAATACATGTTTTTCATGCATCTTGAAACGCTGTGGCATTGAAAATCCCTTTTAAACATACCTTTCTCACGTTTTTGACAGCTTCAAGGGGTTACCTGAAAGGACAGCCTGGCCAACAATGAATGCTCTTCTCTCGTTGGACTTCTCACACAACCAAATAACGAATGAAGGACTGCCAAGAGGATGCTTATCCAATCTACTGACCCTGCAGAGTTTGGAGTTTGCCAACAATTCCATCACTCACCCACCACGCGAAGCCCTCACTGACCTCACCTCACTGCAGTACATTGGATTGAGAGTAAGAATACTAAATCGTGTCTGCTGACGCGATTACAGATTACATATTCACATTTTGGTACGGTATATCATACAGTTCGTTGTGTTATCTTTCAAAATAGTGTAAACTTGTCTTAGCAATGATCCATCGGGTAAAATAATAAGAAAAGTTAAGTGTTTGTCAATTCAAATCTTTACACCAGATCATGATTTCTGAAAGGCATAGTGATCATGAAGTACGCTTTTTGAAGTGTTAGAGATATCTAGAATTGTTTGACATCCATGGATAATAATATTGAAGAAGACAGAATGCTAGAAAACTTGCAAACCCAAATTGAAATTCTTTTGCATTGGCTGTGATTTGAATCTTGCCGTTCCCAGTCTTGGAAAGAGGGCACATTATTTTTCATCCCTAGTTCCCACAATATGCCAGATAATATATGTCATTATTCCTAAGAATCCTGTACTAAAATAATACGCACGAAGTGTTATGTAGTATGTAATAGTAGTTCTAAGACAGTGGACGTTTTGGACAATGATGTATTTCTGTGTTCCAGTTGTGGAATCAAAATCCTCGTTTTATGGGTCTTTGATACCAAAAAATAGTTGACGTCAGTCTGCCCGTCTGTTGATGGACAATGCTAGCGTCTAAATCGTTCACACGATTTTCGCCAAATTGATATCTTGGGCCTCATGGATCTGACCGAACCCGTGGCCCTGCAACTTTGAAATTAATATTTTGTTTTCAGGTGTACTTTACCTTAACCTTGAGGGGTGCTTTGCCGTAACATTAGTAACAAAATTTCTTATAAATGGCTCCAAGATTTTTTGTGACACTTTTTTCTCAAATAAATCAAATGACGCTTCAAAAAAGGATCATTTGCGTTGAAATTTCTGAATTTTCGAAAATTGCAAGCGTTACAAATAATGCGTGAAAATATATGCTGTTGTAGCACCACAGGTTTTGTCCGATAATTAAATGATTGTATATGAAATATTAGTACCTACTATCTTATCAGTCCAAATGCAAGCATTACATTACTTTTGAGATGTGTGGATGCCTTTTGAAAAGAAATCCTTTCATTTCGCACTTGCATCGCGTTTTTCTTTTCTTCATGGGATTTGAAATGCTTGTCTCCTACCAATTTTTGCGCGGTTCCAAGTGGTGAAAATCACCTTGGCTAAATCTGTCGAGTGAAATGTGTGTGCTAAAATGTAATTGTCATTGCCAGAATTGTGGCAACAGTTGAACAGCCAGTGTGAAATGAAAGTAGGCGTTGTTGAGAAGCACCAAAATCCCTGAATGCTAGTGGCGTGTCCTTCATGTACGCACTGCGTACCCTGCACCTTCGAAAACAATGTATTTGCAACAGAAAATAATTCTTACTTTCTTTATAACATAAATCTTCTAATTTATTGAAAGCGTGGTGATTTACACCAGCAGTTATGAAATGCCCGAGAACACGCGGTCTCGCGATGGACTTACGTGCTCCAGCAACTCCATGTGGAGTTGGGTGTGGAGGCTTGGAATGAGACGGTACCTGCATGATTATTAGTAAGCCCTGATGAAGAAATTATATATTTCGTAACGTTGGCGTAACTGATTGTTTCTCTAACCACATTGACCCATCCCGTGAACCGATTTTAATTCTTTATTCTTCAATGGTCGTGATTCTACAATGGTCAAATAATTTAAAATAAAAATGGCTGGTATTGTCGGGGTATGTAACACATCACCCACATCCATGGACGCATCCCTGGGAAGAAGTTGCGCACGTTTTCTTAAACTCCACTTCTACCCCTACTCATTACAAAACAGATATCGGCTAATTGAATTTTCAAGACGATCAAATACCGGATAACAGAGATATTATGATGTATAGAGATATTATGATCTTTCTACTGCAGGGATTGGCGAAGACGGACAAACGTACGTGATTTGTGATTCATTGATGAAGATACTTTGAAGATAAGAAAAACATTTTCAATGCAGGAAGAACAATGCCGGACATTAATATAACTACTACTTCGAAGCCCTGTTGAAGGAAACTTAAAATCCAACTTTTAGAAGCTAATGAATGGCTTACCGGCTATATACAGTTTATTGCTTACCCAAACTAAGCCCTTCACTACACGCCACGGCTGAATGCAAATATCGTCGTCCTTTATTCCTGACTTTGAGGCAAAAGTGATTCATGTCAATCTTTCATCACATGCCACCTATCATTCTTGATCAGGTAGGGTTTCAAAATCACCCATTTTCCCGTGATGATTTTGACGTCTGGACTGGTCTGAGGCATGGGACATTCGCAACAAATATTTCAAACTTTTTAATTCATTCGAACAGCTGCTTCCAGGAAATAATGAATTACTATCATTCTGGAAAGAGTTTCAACGGTTTTCATTACTCAAAAAAACACGTAACAAATTTATGATCTAAGGTGGTGCATGTCGAGTAAACCGCGTCAATATTTGAAGAAGAATGAATTTTTAGCGTAGAGTTCTGAATCATGCCGCGATATTCCCAGCATTGTTTGAATCAGAAGAATGACTGTTACCTACCTACTAATCATTCACGCTACGTTTTGAATTTTATTGCATTTTAGTTTCATTTACCGACACATTTCCATTTCTTTATGATTACTGAATTAATAAGCTTCCTTTCAAGATAAGCGTAAAAAAATGTTCAATTAAACAAAAATAAAATGTAATGAATTCCGTAAGTATGAGTATCGTAATTTCTCCTAATGTATTTCCAGAACAATAAATTGCATCGCCTTGAACGTGGGGCATTTGGGCGCCTTCCGGTTGTTTTTACCCTGGATCTGAGCCAGAACATGATCAACAATATCAGTGAACGTGCATTTGACGGGTTGCTGCAACTACAAACACTGAATTTGACGTCCAACAATTTAACTCGAATCCCGAATGGAGCTTTCCAAGGTAAAATCAAGAAAACATTGACAAATTCATTCTTTTAGTGTATTATGATTTGGTAAAAGGGAAAGGCTAGTTAAATAAAATTAGGCATTTTCTAGACATGACTAGTTAGATCTTTTACTTACATATGATCAGTTTTGTTTCGAATATGCATAATTCTCTGAATGTTAGAAAAATTCATTTAAATATTTTCCTGTATTTTCAAAATTTAATTTTTTCAGGGCTAGTTTCACTGAGAACGCTTGATATCTCGAAGAATAAATTAAACAGCTTGGATAATGGCACAAATTCCTTACTAGAGGACTGCCTATCGTTGGAAAATGTGAGTAGATACGACAGTGTTCAAAGATATAATATTATAAATATTGGTATCTTATAAGTACAAAACTACCAGTGTATTAGGCAATTCAGGCATGTATGTGGTATTTCACTGCAACCCTGCGTTTCTGAAGCTGCATGCTATTTTGTGAGAATATCATACTCACGCGCTGATTAAGTTAATTGTTGTACCTGTAATCAGTAAGATATACTCTAATTTGCCTGAATACTTTATTTCGCATAGTAATCATAAAGTGCAAACTCTAGGGGTATACTGGCATACTATTTTACTCCATATTTTTAACATTTTAGTCCAAATGTATGTACATAATTAGGTGCCTGTTATTATAAATAAATCCTCAACCCATGTGCTCGTGGTATGGTTGTCATCTCATAGTCCCCTCCCCCGACTGTCGTTCATCCGTCATTCACCCTACCCTAGAATAGGTTTGGCTGAGATGCCTACGGATACTTGAAAAAAATAGAGAGAGGTAGACCTACGGGCTTCACCAGGAATGTGAGATTGGAAGGGTCTCATACCTGGTTAAGATAGCCCCACAGGGGATGGAAGAAGCTGCCACGAGCGGCAGTAGTATAAGTTATGATGGACACTCGGGAACTTCCTGTGGGGAACGCGTAAATGTGAGAATAGAGTTTCCGGGGTAAGGGTTGCTCAAAACCCGATGATGGGTAGCAACCTAAAATCTGGGAAATAATGTAATGTTTTTTTTCGACAACCGGTTATTAGTTACGTCCCAATGGGACCCATATTCGACCATACACTGGACACCAACACACTTACAGGCTCATCTGATCTAGGCTCAGCAGACCTTGAGGCCCTCCGCGACAACACGTACATGAGAGACAAGAGACAAACAACCATGCCAAAGGTGGGACTTGAACCCACAACCCTTCGGACCGAAGCATTGGGTCGGTATACGCTCTTAGCCACCTCGGCTTTCCAGGTCTGCATTATGGAATTTAAAAATATTATTTTTTGTATACCAACATTTGCAGCTCGAAAATACGTAAAAGAAAATCCAGAACTTCCAGAAACTGTTTCATTTGAAGTGTGACGTTTTGAAGGTTCGCCTGTGTTCGGCGTGTCTCCCCTAGATACAATTGATCTGGCGGTTCTAACCTTATTTGCTGACTCCTCAATGTACTGTTTTGCGTCACTAGTTGAACGCTATTCGTGTTTTTCTCTTACATCGAAGTTATAAATTTATCACATTCTTTTTCATATTTTTCAACTGGTTTTCAGGTATTAGCGACAATTTTTCTTTAGCAACGTCAATAATTATTGTGTCTGGTAAATCCATTTCACAACGAACAATAAACACCCCGGCCAAACACGGCCACCCCTATTACAATCTACCTTGGTCTACGTTATGTACGTAACATACCATTCTACTTCCACGTTCAGTGATCATTTTACTTTGTAAAAATTTTGTAATTATGTTATAAAAAATGGCGTATATAATTCGTTTTGTAATGTTCCTTTTTTGCACGCATAAGAATAGCCGCATTCACTCCTTTGTCGTTCATGCTGCTATACTTATTCTTGCAAAAAAGAACATTATAAACTAATGGCATAACATACTATTAGGTAACTAGCGTATAATGTTGAGATTTATTCCATAAGCAAATATTTTAAAAATGAGTAGTGTTTGGAGCGAGTTTTCAAATTTGTACGAATGCAATGAAGGAACATTACAAACGAGTTGCATGTGTTTTTTATAACAACAATTTAAATGGAAAAAAGAGAGTGAAAGTTAATTTTTGGATATAACTTTATTACGACGTCACGTGTATTTGACAATTGTGCGAAAAAACGAAGGTCGGCTGTGCTGTTTACCTCCACGGTCCCATTACGAGTATTCCCTCGCTGCTATTGGCTGAATGCATTATGACGCAAGTATTCCTGCTATTAGCGACCAATGAGTCATAATTTCTGCCATTGATTGCCACTTTATGAACGATTTCCTGCAACAAAATGGTTTTTTATACTAGCACACAAAAATATTTATTTACACTAAATTAACTTTATCGGTACGTAAAGGTTACTATTGTCTACACTCCATCTCAAGTACTGCCCTAGTGTGGCCGTTATTAGAACGCGAAAGAGCAGTGAGTTTGAAATCTGCAACAAATATGAAAGATTGAGAAGTCTGTTGTGGGTGACGTGATCGAAAATATCAAACAGCCATGTATCTCAGTGACTAGTTTAATACATACGCATATATTGTTCATTACAGTTACCATCATACCTATAATACCACTCACGAGGCAGTCTCTCTTATCTTCAGAGTAAGGAACAAGAGTGTCCCATTTATCGATTGAACATTACACACCGGTGCATAACGAGTGCATTAAAATATCAATGCATATTTCATTAAAATTTGCATTGTATATCCGGCATTCATTTCATTCTCGATTTCTGTAAACCATTTCTCGAAGCGTTTAAATAAGCGACTCAAGAAGACTGAAAGCTGGTGAATCGACGGCTGGGTGATATTTTCTCTTAGTTATGAAATATTGTGTATCTTCAGCCCCAGAGGGGTCTTTGCGTAAACTGGCGCACATGGCAAGCAACATGTTTTCGCTTAATTAATTTATGCCCCTATTTACTAAGACAGACATTTTTTTGAATTGAATTGAATTGAATTTGCCTTATTTTACGTGGCGAGACTCGGGCCATCAGGCCCGCTCTTCCGTCTGACCACGCAAATTTCGCAACGCTCCTTTCACCAACTAGGAGAGAAAGGAGGTATTTCTGGGCGAGAAACAGGCGATTTGAATTTAGCTCAGAGGCGTCATTTAGGCTTGAGGATATTTTACATGCAAGTAAATCTACGAACATGGGACAGCCGGCTTTACTTCCCCTCCGAAGGAAGGCGTACGAAGGATTTTTTCGCCCTTAAAAATCCACGGCTTCGATCGGGTTTGAACCCGCCAACTTGGGTACAACAGTCCAGTACGCTAACCGCCGCCGCTCTTTTTATCCTTTGTACTTAAGATTTGCATGATTCACATGCTTGGATTTAGATAGAAGTTAGGTTTCACCTTCTGTTCGCCTTTTATGGCTACTATCATTCCTAACCATGAAGTTGTACTATAGTTTCTACTTTTGACTTATGGATCTAGGTGTCACAAGGGATTAAATGCTATTCAAATACTTCTGACTTAAAACTATAGATTCGAGTTCCTCTTAGGCGTGGGAGTATTACCTTGATGTTGATGAGAAAGAAAATATAGAAGTCTCACGTACCACCCAAGGTACATAGAATAAGAGAATAAGGTACCAACATACATCATCTAATTGTTCATTTATTGACATTAACATTAATAACAATGTATTATGGTTTTTAATAGTTATAAATAATTATATAAGTGTATACTATTATTTTTATTGTTTTCATCGAATGGCACACATTTATGATGCGATTAAAATTGTTTTCAGCTGAATCTTTCATACAACGACATGTTTGTCCTTTCGAAACGCAGTCTTCCAAGTTCGCCGTGGGTGCCTTACAAGCTCAATAATCTGGATTTGTCTTATAATCGCCTTCCGGTTTTAACTGCGGAATTTCTTCCGGGCGGCCGCCGCTTAGAGCGCCTCTCCCTGGCGAGCAATCTCCTCTCAGAGCTTCGACCAGGTAAGCTTGACTATTGAGTAAAGAACTTTAAAATTAAATTAAAATTTGAAAATATTAAATGGAAGTGGTGTAAACTCCCTGTAACAAACTTCTCATAACGAAAAGATTCCTATAATGTAGACACGTTAGTGAGTTTGGTTGGTTTATCTTACAACCCATTCATTTACATAGCTCCATATAAAGAAATCAGTATAAGGAATGTATTCGGTCCCTTGAGTTTCATTATAAAAGTTTACATTTCACCATTTTTCAAGGTCTTTAATGATCACTAACACGAAGCTAATTATGAGACCAATTAATATGTTTACCTTTACTTGCAGGTGTACTGGGAAATCTGACAAATCTTCGTTACCTGGATATCTCCAGTAATCTACTGAAAGTTTTTCCCGGCCCCATGCTTGGTCCACCTCCAAATCTGACAGAATTACGAATTGCGAGCAATCGATTGATTACACTCCCGACAAAAGAACTGGCCTCTCTCAAATTTACATTGAAGTTACTGGATGTTGCAGGCAATCGACTGTCTGGAACCCCAGTGGAATTAATTCCGCAATTACTGAATGGGACTATTATGAAGTTTGAAGGTAATTTTATGCGCTGTAAGAGATTAACCACGTGTATTTGAACTAGTAAATCACTTGTGAAGAAGATGGTGTCTCCACAATGAATCTATAATGACTTTGGGAAACATTTGATACTCTTTTCAAGTCTTATTGGTTTTCCACTTGGTCACTATTAATTCTGAATTTTGAGCTCTCTGACTGACCTTTATTTCATTAAGGAATAAGCCGAAAAGAATAAAGTAACGATAATTTAGACAGAGCAGGAAGTGTGAAAGAAGATCTAAAAGAGTCCTGATGATGAAAGTATTCCTACAAGCTGGCGCAAGTTCTCGAGCTGAAAGACGTGCCACTAGCTGCTTGCCAAGGAAAAGGGGGGCGGGGTGAGAAGGGGCATGAGTTTTTTGTACCATTGACACAAATTTTTTTGGAAGTTCGTGTTATATTGACGTGAAGCAAAATTGACACATTTCCGCGCTCAGAAATCCATTACAATTGGCAATAATGACTTTTCCTATGTATATTTGAGAATACATTTATTGTCCGTTTTTTTATATTTTACACAGTAATAACCATATTAATAAATATAATTTTAAAAAATGCAATAAAATACAAACCAAATAACCTATGTGCCATATCAACGACGTAAAAAAACGGAGCCAAATTGAAGCGCCAATTAAATGTATTTATCAAAAAAAAATCTTTACTACTGACAACTATTAACACGAGAAAATAACGAAACTACTTCTCGTTTGGCACAGTGCAGCGAGCGGCTTCGTTGTATCTTGCCAAGCCAAGGCTATTACGACACTGATGACAGGGTCACAGCTTTCGAATTGAGAAGGGGAGCTGCACCTACAGCCAAGGTCACTATGCGGGGGCTCCTTTCTTGCTCGTTAGCGCCGGTGAGCGCTCCCCACAACCACAGTAGAGAACCAATTTAGAGCACTAATATTCGATTATCGATCATGGTTTCGTCTCTCAGATGCTTCACGTTTATGTGTTTGAGAATTATGGATTAATAATAATAATTACAATATAATACTATTGCAACTGTTTTACTTTCAATTCTGACAATCATGAACGAGCAAGTGAAGTCACTTGAATTGGTATTTGAACGTCCCTGCACATAAACTAACACATAAAATGTATCGTAAAATGGGTATGGATATTTTGGTTACAGCCAAATGTTAAACATTTAACTGTTACACGTTCCCCGCAGTGTATGAGTTTCATCAACCTTCTGTGAATGAAACACTATTGGAAATGATACCAGAAGTGGTACAACAGTACATACTTTCTCGCATTATTTGTAACATTTGCAATTTTCAAAAATTCAGCGAGTTCAACGAAAATTAGACCTGCTCCATTTTTTAAACATCCTTTGTTCTATCCAAAACAATAACTTAAAGAAACATTTGTAGTCATTTTTGAGGAAATAATTGTTTGAAATTGCCTGTATTTCACACAAAATTACGCAAAAACTACTCATATTTTCGAAAAATTATATATAACTTCATTCCAAGATGTCTTTGAAAAACAGATTTTATTAAAACATAATGGAGCTACAGCAGCACATATTTCTTGAATCGTATGTAAGGATTACGCAATGTACTTATCTATCAACTTTAGCTTTATCGAGTTAACACACCTGTTGTCGCCTGGTGAAAACAACTTTCTCGCCGCTTAAAAAGCTAGTGGTTTTTTTGCATTACTTCTCAGACACAATTTTCGAAAATTCAGAGAGTTCAACGAAACAGAGGTTTTATTTCAGAAATAAATCTCTATCACGAATATTATAGCCTACTTTCGCAATTTTCGAAAATGACAACAAAATGGCGTAGATCTCATTGTCAGCGAACTCTATAGTTTCGAAAACTATAAACAATAAATTAACATTGAAAACAATCATATTCATGATAGAGATTTTCTCTTAATGAAATATGTTCTTTAAAATTAGAATTAGAAATAATGTAAATGAAAATCTCTGAATGTTTGAAAACTGCAAAAGCGAATGATCAACTTTTTTCAAGCGTTGGAAAGGATGAATTCATCCGTGCGGCCGGTGGTATAGGGGAAGTGTGCCTGGCGTCTTAAATGTAAGAGTCAGAGTTCGAATCCTGCGCGGAGAAAAAAGTGCTAGTCAGAAAATTTTTCAGGTCCATGTAGTATTATAATATTGCGTACTGATTACAAATAATGAGTGAAAGTATGCGCTGTTGTAGCTACATTAGTTTCTTTACTACGTAATTTTGTAATAATGCGTGAAAATAAAGGACTTAACAATTACTCCAATATACTAAGTTACGTTTTGATGAGAAAATATTGGTACGCAAATTACCCCTGTTTAATTGGCGCTCCACGTATGACTTTGTCCTCGTTAGCGGATCGTGTATAAATTAATACCTTCTCATCATGAAAGTTAGGCAATAAAATATGCACTGACGAATTACATTTAGTCACAATACGAAAAACCCGTAGGAAAGTGAAATGTCAAATTCCCGGAGGATCTCTTGCAGTGCAAGGAAAGACTTATGGCATGACGGCTGACAACACAATTAGAAGAGCTACCGGGAGAGGTGGCGCAGGTCATCAACTGATGTTACTGCAATATCTCTGAAGTCGATTTTAGACACTAGCTTGTCAGCAACATCATGGCGACGCTTACCTGAGGAGGCGTGGATAAGCCATCCTCCACTGCTGCCGAGAGGGAGCTCAGTTGAATCCAAGGACCACGTGCAACGATAACTGATTCGCTCTTGCAACTTTGTTCTCACGCTAAGCTTTTTACAACGACGTCGGTATCATTCTCGCTTAGGTAAGAGAGTCATCTCTGACGACCCTTGCTGGACTTTCCTGACCTTCTTTCACAGTTTTCTTCAGTAGATTCCGAAACGCCTGTCGCATCGGTGTTGATTTTTACGTTAGCATTTGTTATATTGTATGCAATTTTCATATGCCGTATGTACTGTGTCACTCGATACACTATCTCACAAGCCTGGCCTCTCCACGGTCGCCCTAATTCATACACGGTTGTTGAAGTCGAAGCCATATCTACAGAAATATAAAATCTCGAAAACACCGCTAAGCAACAAATTGGAGATCTACACCTACGCACAGCAGGAAGCCCTCCCTTTCGAGAGAGTAACGTTCCAATACAAGAACCCTTTGTGGCAAATATATAGGAGGAAAAGTGCAGGAATGTCTTTTCTCTCGACATGCCATTTCTCACACGCAAAAGCCTTTCGATTTGGCAGTATAAAGAGAAATACGAGCTTTCAACACTCGGGGATTCGGGACAGTCGTCAAGGATAGGCTGTTTTGCCCACGCCCACCGAGGCCGACGCGGCTCCTCCTCAGGCGGGGAAGTTGGGCCTCTAAGAGGGAACTTTTTCTGCCGCCACTCGTGTCGCATTCCAGATTTTTTAAGTTGTCGAGCTGAAGGTCGAATTCAGTCGCTGTCTGGAGGAGAAATGTAGTGGCCGGCGATTCTGATAGTTCCGTGGTTTCTCGGATCAACACTAGGTGAATGCCAAAGCAGTACCCCAACAAACGGACCACGGACCGTGCGTATTCTTTCCTTCCTCTTCGATGTCCTATCCTCACTCCTTACTTAAACATACTAACATGCATTACACTACAACACATGCCGGGTTACCGGTCGGGAGCTTAGAGCTTGTACCACAAAAATTCAATCATCATTTGCAGAGCGTTTAGTGTTACGAATTTTCGTTTGAAAATTACAAAAAAAACGTTTATTACCTTCGGAATGAATCTAAACATTAAGTTTGTTTAATTCTTCCTTCTCAAGCTTACATTTTTGAGGGGGAATCCTTTATGAGACTTCTGAGGAGTTACACTTTGGAAAACTTAGTAAGGAAGGTACAGAAAGGAAATCTATTTTTTTTATTACGGCTCTTTATGAGTGGGGATTCTGGCTAATCAGGAAATTCATATTCTTGTGATTTGAGGAACGTTATGGTACATCTGAGAGGAGATATATGTGATGTAGTTTTCTAATGTTCCCGATTGAATTGGTTGCGAAGCTGTTGGTTGGAAATAAACCATGGTGCATTTAATTGTGTGGAGAAAGTGGTTTCGTATGACCCGTAATTTTTTGCGTTTGATCCTGCAGCATTTATCCATGTTGGACAAGTTTTTAAGAAGTGACCCGATTATGGTTTTGAATATAGTTAGGGCTGGGTTGTATGGAAGTTGAACTGACCTGTGTTTATTAAACTTAATTGGTGAAGTTTTGCTTTAGCCTGAATGAATTTGTTATTTACGTGTTGTTTCTTGTTGAATTCTGTATCCATTACTAATCCTAAGTATTTATGGTTTTGTTATGAGGGTGCCAGTTAATTACTCTCTGATTTAATGTAAGTGGAGTGGGATGGTTAAATGATTTTTACAGTACCTGTGAGGTTTAATTAGATATTAATTGTAGGGCCCAGCTGTCTAGAAGGTTAAGGTATAATCTAAATAGGGTTTTAATCTGTTCTGGTAATATTGTGTTGTCCTTAAATGAATGTAGCTTTACCATAGCATATTTTGTTGGGCTTTCTTTTTGCTAGTAGTGATAGGAATAAAGCCAAGAGTGAGGGTTGATATTTTTTGTCAATATTATAAAATCAAATCTGTAGTTTGTTTACCAATGTAAATACGTTTACTATTGCTCGAGATTGTAACTTTCTAGTTGTTAAATATTGCTAAGCATGCTTTGTTGGTACTTTTCTCATCATTCAATGTTATAGTGAGAGGATGGAATAGGGATTCTGGAGCTCAAGAAAATGTGTTTTTACTGTTGTGATGAAATGAAATCAATTCAAAGTCCTGGTATGAACTAGTACCAGCCATAGCAGTAGTTATAAAGAAATTGCATAAGAGAAATCGAGTAATGTGTCAGTCCACTTTTGATGTTTAACAAATGGTTGTATGTGTAGGAAACCCTCTGCAGTGTGACTGTCGTATACGTCCTATTTTGCGCTGGTTTTCTGAGAAAGGCTCAGTGCCTGAAGAATGGAGCAATGTCCGTTGTTCAGAACCTGATCATTTGGCCGGACTAGCAATACCTGAGGTTCCTGAGCCACGCCTTTCCTGCAGTGATAAACCAATATCGGTTCTGCCCTCAACTGGAATTCCTGAGGACAATGGAATCGAGTATGATCCAGCTCCAGATGTTCGCTTCCGGAAAGTACAGAGGTAAGGGACACCCAAAGAACCAAACGAGATTACTCCAGTACACTGTTTGTTGTGGACATGTTGGAAGAACAAACTTTTCCGAAATATCTGTTTATTAATATTTTTGACCTCCCTGAATAAGCAAAAAACAACTTTCAGCTGGAGTAGTTCCAACATTTATTATATTTAAACAAAACTACACGGATTATACATCACTTGCAATAAGTACAAGTGCTACTGTTAAGCTGTGTCTAAGGTAGAAATAATATATTTAGAGAATTCTAACACACTCCAAATAAAATAAGAATGGAATTAATTCTAGTATTATAAATCATGGAGAACAAATGGTCCAACTCTTGTGTTTTCGTTCTTAAAATGGTTTACTAAAAAATGTCTATTTCCAACACCAATTGCATGCTATAATTTGGTTATAGTTTCTCTAAAGTTGTGTCACCACACTTTAGTTACACCATTGTCATTCAAACTAAAAAATATGCTTTGTTTTGTATTTTGCAGATTTGAAAATGGGTCAATATCTGCATCATGGTATGTTTGGACCCGTTCCGATGTGGCAGACTTTCTTCTTCTTGCTCGTCCAGTGTCCGAAAGTGGCACAAGCACATCAAACGTGCCCTTGGCTGAAGTTGACCTCTCATATATAGAACGAAGGGCTATATTGCCAATACCTGCCAATGCACAAAACCCTCTTCAATTTTGTGTAGCCACTAGGAATAGCTTAGGTGAATTACGACCTCTTCGACCTCGTCATCAGTGTCGTGTACTGTCAGAAGGTTCCGGCAGCATTAAGATCCAATCAACATTAATTGGAATGTTGATAAGTGCTTTTGTATATTTGTGGCTGTAAATATTACCCTGCTGTTTTGACAATCTGTATTGTGATAAAAAATATATATTTCGTTTTGACACAAAATAATTTGTTGGTGTCTGAAAATGTTTTTCAATAAATAAACACAAAATTTTAATCTCTTTTATTTACAAATATTGTTGAATGATACTTAAAAATTCCACATACTATAAATAAGGCATACTTTCTTTTCAAAATCTGAATTTGAAATTAGTTCTTTTGTAACTATATTATTGCAGATATTAATTCTGAAACACATTGGAATACAATAATAATAATAATCTGAAATAACTATTACACAAATGATACGAAACTATGATTTCAAAACTTTTACAGTACTTCTCAGATATCCCCCAGGGGATACCTCTTTGTAGCAGCACTGTCCGTGCGGGCAGGGAGGCTTGTGTTTCAATGATTTGGAAAGCTGTAGTATGTTCGTTCAGGCATGTCTACTGGTATGGTCACTTATGCCAGTCAGGCTGAAATAAAAAAAAGCAGACTAATGTGTCTCACAACATCCTATTTTAATCCTACTCCCCATTCCATGCCCTATTTGATACTCCACGGGGATACAGTCATATCTACTGACGTACCGTTTCTTCAGGTGCGGCATCTTTTACTTACTTATGCCACATCTTTCCTACCAGGCCTCTTTTGGCCGACTTGACCTTTTCGATACCGATGCTATTAGGTTTCACGGGTTAGGGAGTCTTTCTTTCTTTCTTTAGCTTTTATAAGGTAGGCCTTTGAATAGGGAGAGGAGCCTCGATAGTCGTAGAGAAGACAACCCCTCTATGGCACGGGAAGCTCGATAACAAAACCTTGGGTCCTCCAACTTGGGGAGGGGGAGTTCGGCATTAGGCTTGCTCTCCAATATCAGTAAAAAAATTCAAATGCAAAACATCCCAATACTCAGCCTCGATGATGATTAAGGTTTAAGGGCGCTTCAACAGCCAAGTTCATTGGCGTCCGTGTCAAATTATTTTAATAGCAATACGCACTGTAGCAGTGCTAGACTAAAGCGTTTTTTATGCAACGTAAAATGTCAGTAAAACTGAAAATAAATATGTTCAATTATTTAAAAAAGAGGTTGGAGATCCTAGTGCCAAATAAACACTTTAAAATCTCCAATTATATTAACAATTCTTTTCTCTCAGATAATGCTGTCAGACTCTCGTAAGAAGCTCAAAAGCCTGCAGAGAGAAGATTCGTAATTTCCAGGTACCTCTGCTAGAGAGCTAGCAAGGTGAAGCCTTCGCCGGTTATCTCTTACCTTAGAACAGTACACGATAACTCTGTAAGATCTGTCTCGCAACTATTGCAAGTAGGGGGTAGGTCACCGCGGAGATGTCCATGAGAGAAATGAGTGTCCGATCCGAAGGCGTGTCAGAATTATCTCTTCGCGCCCTGATCCACGAGACGAAGACCAATGCTTTATGGAATCATTGATTCTCGTTTAAAATCGGATTTCTGTCACTCTGCCATGCACTGAGAATACATTCGATAAACAGCTTGGTATCGTTTGTTGGGACGAACTTTGCTGCCTGGTCAGCAATTTCCTTCTCTATTATCCCAACGTGACCAGGGATCCAAAAAAAACGAAGTCAATGGGTGACAAGAAGAAAAGCAAGAAAAATTCGAACGAGCTTTTTTGATCACTACTTCCTTTAATGTCATCAATTCTGCGAACTTAACTGCCTCTAAGAGTGCAAATTTTCTGCAGTATAAGCGCTGCACGAAGTGTCTAATCGAAGACTCTGCATGGAACTGTGGCAATAGAAAGCACACCTTACTTTACTATTCTGAGAGGAGCTATTAGTGTAAATGAAATTACAGTCGCGATACATGGAATTCCACCAGAAATGTACTGCCCTAGTTGAGGATTTGGGGAATTGTGATAATCTCAGGTCAATTTTAGGCCGGAGAAGTTTCCAAGGTGAACAAGATTTTGGGGGTTGGCTCATAAGCGATGATGAGCTTGGACTCTACTATTGACCTCCGGTAGCTCAACGATGTAGCCAGAGGGCTACTAAAATAAAGGGCTGGAGGACCACCTCGTAAAAGGAAATGAAGGATCGGCCGAATGATAAATGAAGAAGCGATATTAGCTTAAATATTAATTTAATGAATGAGGATAAAAGCGATTGATAATGCCTCTTGGAATAATAAAATATAATCTCTTGGAATTAATAAAATAAAACTTCCGATCTAAGAAAGAATATGAAAACAAAACAATTATAAAACGACTATATACAAAAATGCGTGCCGGGCCCTAGCGGTGAATTACTAATAAAAGAAAAAAATCTAAAACATAATTAGTAATTTCCAAATAAGTTTATAAAATTGATTGACATAACTAAAATGACCAAAAATTCCATAACCCAATGACCAATTGTTAATGATTGCGAGAACAGTTCAGTTCAAATAATGGGGTTGTGTTACTTAGAATCAACTTTAACTACTTGGCCCGGCACCTCGGAGGCAGAAACAGGTACCTGCTATTTGAAGGCGCTGAGCTCGTCCCGATTAATGTCGGGGCTTAGCAATTGCTGCGTAGAGGTCGATGAACACGTCACAGTGCGCCTCTGAGCGAATGCTCGAAGTTCCCCGTCACCATGACCAGGCAATGCTGTCGTGGTCTAATTTGATGCGATGTGGGCAGCCTTAGTCCTGAATGATGTTTTCAACTCTCCATTCTACTCTATCTCATGTCATGTCTTGTCTGCTCAAGTCTGCTGGGGCGCGGTGGTATACACAAATATATAGGACCAGCCCCTCCCTGCGACGGGGGCTTGTCTAAAGTGGAGGGGGGCTCTCTGGGCCACCGTGGGAGATTGCCGAACCTCTGAGAACGGGGCCGCGCGGTGAACTTTCGGCCGAGCCGCTGGCTGGGAGTGGTTACACATTGCGGGAGGTGCTGTCGTAAACCGCACTTGCGAAACAAGTGTTTTGAAGGACCTCGCGCCGCGCCTAGAGGGTGGCAGGCCGGCGGTGCGTTGGGTCTCAAAGAGACGGATCACGACGGCATTCTCAAAATGAAAGGGCGGACGCCGGGAAGGAGTGATGTGTCCCGGCGGCCGGGCACAGAGGGGAGGGGCGGCGCGGTCAATTGTGCCACGAGCGTGCGTAAACACACCCATAATCTAAGATAGGATAGATGACAGTCCTACATATGCGCAAAAGACATACCAAGTCTGCACCCCGTGATCCACCAGCAAGTGTACGAAGGAGGTTCAATGGTGATACCAGCGGCACGTCAAGTTTTGAATGTGCTTTTGCCATGTTTAACTCTTGTCGAATGTCAGGCCAAGGAAAGCGGTAGATTCGAAGGGAAGTTGATGACCCCCCCCCCAAAAAAAAAGATCATGATGCTTGAGGTGCATGCAACTGGATTTTGAGGTGGAGGACTTGAATCCAGTTTTATTGTTACATTCTTGCAAGATCTTCGAAGAGCAGAATATGGTAAAGTCATCAACGCAGAACCATACTTTCACAGGCTCTCGAATTACTGATTCAATACTATTGATATCAATGGGAAACGGTGACACTCAGAATTGATTACTGGGGAACAGTTTTCTAACTGGTGACGTGAGGATAACGAGTCAACAAGGCGGACGTGGAAAGATCTTGACGAAAGAAAATCTACTAGAAACGAAGGGAGGCTCCCACCCCTGAGGCTCAAAGAATGCCTTACCTCCAAGTGGTGGCATACGCTTTCTCTATGTCGAAAACATATACTACCAGGTGTTATCGCAGCAAGAAAGAAGTGGAGATCTGAATGACCCATGGTTGACCTGTGTTTCCTGAAACCACACTGAAAAGCTGTAAATAGATTCCTTTGCTTCACGAGTCAGGTCAGACGTTTGCTTTACCATTCGTTCTAGAAGCTTGCGAGCGAGATTGGGCAGTAACTTGAAGGATTTGTTCTGTTCTTTCCTTGTAGTAGTAGAGTGATTTCCATTTGCCAGAAGCCCTGAGAAAGACGGCGAAGGAAGTCTTCCACCGATCTCTTGAACCTTTCGCCACACTACTTTGGGGGCGTACGGCAATAGAGTGAGAGAGAAGAGTGAGTGAGCGAGAGTGAGAGATGGACTACAGAGCCAAATCGACGGACGATAAAGTGTTTGAAGCCACGGAAAAAAGTGTACTTTCGCCAGTATTCAGAAAAATTAAGTTCTGGTTGTCAATTATATTTTCAAGTATACTGCCTCTCGAGCAGGTCCTAGTGCCACCCTAGGCGGGATTGTGGCCATTAAATTCGCCCACAATAAGAAGAGGCGGGCAAACTGAGAGAACATATCTATGTTCCGCTTGCGACACTTGTCCAGGCGGGATATAGACGTTGCAAATAGTTATCGATATAGTGCGGAAGTCCACACGAACGCAAGATGTCTGAAGAGTTGTTCGTACGTCTATTTCTTTGGAAGTCTGTGACAAATGAAACGACTCCGTCATGTGCCCGGAGGCCATCATCAATGTCTTGCCTGTAGCAACAAAAGCCACGAAGAGGGAATGCCCAGGAAGAAGATGCGTTTCCTGCAGGCAGATAACAACGGATCTATGCAGAGAGCTTTAATTCGTCTATCCGAGGGCGATAGCCATCGAGTCTTTCACGGGAGGAGAGCCATAACTTTTAGATGTTTTTTCTTTGCTTTTAAGGGGTTTTTTTCTTCCCCTTTTCCGTTTATGCCTCTGTTGCCTACTGTCCAACCCGACTGAAGTTTCCTCCGAGGCAGATTCCTCCTGAGCACTGCTCGACGGGCTAGGAGATCGCTCAGAGAGAGTCTCAAGAGTCGGCGTAGGTGGTCGGAGTTTGGAGGAACGATCTTTTTTTAAGTTTGTCTGGGCTAAAAGGCCGAGTGACATCGGCACCGCTGTTGGGTATGGCCGAACCTCTAACTTGAAGCAACGCAGGGGTTTGGCACGTACTGCCGCACGTGGAGATTATAAAAGCCACAACTAATCCTCTCTGGGAGACAGGGGAAATTAAACGTCAAGATCAGAGTGGGAGTAGGGATCTCTCTCACATTCTCCTTCCTCTTCATCCTAAACACCTGCTACGGCCTGACTGTTAAAGAAAGACAAGTTTCTCCTCACTTTCGGACACAAAGTCATCGTGATTCACCACTCCCTTATATGGGTTAAGGGAAGGGTGAGTGGTCACTTCCACATGGAGGCCGGCAATCTGCTTAATTTTTTCAATTTGCTCATAGGCGCCTCCTTCGAACCGCTGGGTACACCATTCTGACGCACCTCCGCTTGGAGTTTACAGAAACTGACCTCAATGGCTCGCGCGAGACGAACCGCACTAATACTTTTGAATGTTTTCCCTTCTGCCGTGCACGCCATCAAAGGATCAAACGTGGCTTCTTTGGTTTATCTTCTTCCCTGCGGAAAAATCTACTCAATCCACATTCTCTCAAAACATCGCCCCTTCGTTCCGGAAGAGGGCAAAGGGTTTGTTTTATGCTCAACAGAATTGAAGCGGATTCGTGTCCGTGCTCCCCACTCACCATGGAGTCCAACAAGGGGACACCCCATTGGGGTGCCAGGGTTGACACGCACATATAGTGGGAAGATGTCACAGCGCTGCCCCGCCGTGGATCCCCTCGCTCACTGTGAAGTTCAGTACAAGACCTACGCCGAGCCGATTGATCGGGAATGGGTTAGCTTCGGACTGACCGTCTAGACGAGTTCGAGACCAAAGCAAGTATTGGAAACCTACAAGGAATGTTCCCCAAAATACGTAAACAAGTATCCCTAGGTGGAAAGCAGAAAGCAGCACAAGTAGTCGGGAAACAGTGCATAAACTCATTTGCAGTTGCCAAGACACACATTCCCTCCGACACGGGTCGTCATGCACGACAAACACATGGGTGGGCGTTCTGCATACAGGGGGGAGGAGGGAGTGAAATAGAAGGAGTAGAAGAAAAGAGACCGGATGTAATGAAATAACGAGAATGGACGATGGGGAAGATGAAGATGACTGGTGAAAGAAAGGAATACACGAGAGCCCTCCCTGCTTCCCCTTCGTCAGGACGTGGACCAGCCCACTTCAACGGGTACATGGCATTGGACTTACCAATGAATCGTAATAGCCGATAATGTTACACTCCCCTTTCCCAACTTTGGACCGGTTTTATTGCAATTTAAAAACTATAATCGCTGTGACAAATACTTGGTTTATGGTTAAATTTTAGTACAGCTACATTTTTACGCATTTTTGGTAATATGCACATTAGTATATTTGCAGTTGCACAAATGCTAAATGCAAAAATGCAGATCATTAACAATTAGCTCCGAAAATTCTATCACAACATCTTTTACAACTACATTTGATTCTTCCCCGGATTTCCTTAAAACTTTCATATTTTTCTCCTCTAATTTTTGAAGAGATTAAAGCTTTACAAACTCATTCAATGTGTCATTCAAATCCATTTTTTGTTCACTTTTGTTTCTGGAATTATTACTTACTTTGTATGTGATTCTAACATTACAGGGCAACTGTTTTGTATGTTTACAAGAATAAGAAGGTGTTAGTTAATTTGAATCCGAATAAGATGTGGGTCACATTTATTTGAAAAACGGAATTTGCACACGTATGTAAGAATGTAAAAGGGGTAAGTCGAACATAACAATCTTTCATTTACAGTTTTGTTTTCTCCATATGCACGTGAAATTCTTCAAGTTCAATAAGTTCTGAAACAATACTGTTCACAGATATTCACATATTTATTTTTAAAAATACAATAATAATTCGACTCTAAATTGAAATCAAACTGCTGTCCAATTTACTTGGTAATTCAATTGTTCATTTAAAGATGTCAACATCAGTGTTGCCAATGTCGTGAAAGAAAATTATGGCCTATTAAGCAAAAAATGCCTTTGGGTTTTGGTATTTAATCAACGCCACCTATATAGATTGATTTAGGAGACATTGGTTTAATTCCTGGCATTATAACTAATATTGTAGCACCAAAATATGAAATTTAACGACACCTCGTATGTCTTGTTTGGTGCACGGGAAGATGCCAGAGACGGAATGGCAAAAACGCACATCTGAATGTCCGCACACTCAAAGAGTTTTACTGAAATACTGTATAGTGATGACTATATTTTTACCCTAAAACTGAATAACATGCTTAGATAATATTACAGAAACAAACTAGATTTCTTCTATTTATTTTTTTTTTTATGTGCACACAGCCATTACTTTCTATAAACAGTCATCCCATTCACTAGATAAGACTAGAATATTCTCTGTATACTTGAAATACAGCATTAAATCCATAGGATTTGGTTCAGAAGCCCCTAAAGCTTTCCGTTCTACAAATTTCTTATAAACGTTCTCTGCATTTTTATTAACTTTGAGAGAAGGCACTTGCAAAGATGTACCGCATGAAAATGTACTTTGCTGAGAAAGTTGAATGGCTTTCACCAAACTTGGATTCACAGAGTTCCTCACAGCATTCCGGCCCACTAAGACAAACCTACAGCAGAAAAGAAATATTTTTCAATAATATTACATAATAGTTGCAAAACTGCTGTGTGAGGAATTATATCACACAACATAAAGAATAAAATTAATTTTACTTTACAATAATATAATACAAAGGACATGAATCACTAACACCCAAGAAGCTTTCAAAAGTGTCATTTGATTGTAGATGTGTCTCATTTCACGTCACATCGAACACTGTTTTGATCTTAGGTGTTTGAAATTGAAACTTCTTGAATGTGTTCTGACAGTAACTGAAAGAGGCTTAATTTAATTATTTTGGAATTTATGCCACATGAAATTTTCAGAAAAAGTATGTGTACTTACAAACAAAAATGCTTATTTCTCCTCTTAAATTGATTGTACAGAACTGAGATTAGACTCAAATACAACTATTTGAGATAATTTATACTTTGATTTAATTGTTAAATATCAATAAAAAATTAAACATTAAACCTTTATTAATTATAAAAATTGCAATTTCACACATTTTGCAAAAACGTATTTTAATTATTAATCATCTAAGGCCCAAAAGTGTAATAACAATTTTTGAAAGTCTAAACAATGATAAAAATGCAGTTCACCTCGTCCAGAAATGGTTGATTAAATTTCTAAAAGTTGAAGGAGGCAATGTCAAAAAAAGTAACAGTAACAAAAAAGTATTTTCAGGTGGAGCAAATGTGCAATATAACAACAGGAAAAGTTTATCATGAAGAAGATTTTGGCGTAAATTCTGAATGGCATATCTTTGCTACTTCCCAGGGGAAAGGGCCATGTAATGGAATTTGCGACACCTCCAAACGATTCGATATGTGAGCAAGTCTGCAACCACTTCAGGATCTAATTATAACACCTCAGAAATTTTTGAAGTGGAAAAAAGAAAAGGTAGTGGTATTTACTTCATGTTTTTAACAATTAATGACCAGAAAAAATTATGTGACTTATTGAAATCCCGCTATGAAAAAGCAAAACTAGTTATGCATGGATCTATTGTTTCATTAATATTTGTAAAATGAATATTAATGAACTTCAACTACTGATTCTACAATTTCAATGATTCCTAACATTCTCATTTTAATGATAAAAAGTCTGAGTGCATTTTGACTTCATACGGCATGAACCTGTATGCTGCTGTCCTCCATATACTGGATGTTTGATTGGAAAAGTTAATTTATTGCATTTGTATTTATGCATATCCCATTCTGTAATTTTGCACAATCATTCAATTTGATATGGAATGACTCATATACAAACATGGCGTTCTACTACCCCTCTCCCTTTTGTTTTTATATAAAGTTTCTTTGTGAAAAAACTTGTCCATTTGAGCATAAACCCTTTTTCAATGTTTTTCATTGCTACTAGACAGTCATGCACTTATTTAATAATAACAAAATTTTCAGACACATTATCCCATTAGATTTGTTGTATCTCTAGAAATCAATAACAAAATATTTGCATTACACTTTTGGTAATTTAGGTGTTTTTATATGCAAGATTACGGAATTTGTTAAAAGTATTATATGCACTGTGGCTTGTCAAGTTTTTTCATTACCAATATAACATTGTATCATATTGACACTACATGAGTACTTCGACAACGTTCCAAGCTGAAATTTTCTCTGAACATCAATATCTATTGTATTCTAATCATATTTTTCTTTAATAATTTGGCACTTAACACGTAAATATTGCTCAATATAGACAAAGTTGTTCATCCAATTCCAAAAGAAGTTTTTTTAAATGTATCAATCGCATATCAAATTTACATGAAGGATAAGATCTCTGCCAGGATATTCTCCACAAGTTTCTTAAAAATACGAGATAATTTCATAAATGTGCACATAGTAGACTTTTAATTACCTTTTCTGAATGAAATGCCAAGTTATGCAAATTATGTTATAAGGTTTATAAACTTTTGAAATCAGCAATGAAAAAATTGATAACCAACGTTTATAAGTGAAAATTAAGATTTTATAACTTTGACTAAGCATAAACTGATAATTGATTAAATTGTAGTATTTAAAACTGATTTTCAACAGATCATATGACATTTTTTCTCGAAGTCCAAGAACACTTGAGTTATCAACTTGCTCCTCACACCAATTGCAAGTTTTGTTGGCAACAATGTATTACAAATAATTTTTTTTTCTTTCAAAGAATTTCCTTGTAATTGATATTTCACTTACTTCCGATAAATATTCAAATCACTCTTCTTTGGAATACCCACTTCATTTCCGTACACCTGTCTCATGGGTGGAAATAATGCTTCAAATGTCACATTTCCAGATGAACTGTCTTTAGAGGGAGACAACTGGGAGTCGGTTTTATTTTCATCATCATCTGAATCATCACTTTCAGGACTTGAACTACCAAAAAAGAAATATTCCAAAGTAATGGTTTCAGGCAAACAAAAGAAACACATGCAAGCACAAACACCCCCCCCCCACAACAATAAACAAAAACACAACAGGGAATAATGGCAAGAAAAGTTTTTACAGAGACAAGTCTTTACAAAACACGAAGGGCAGGTGATAAAATAATGTTTACATCTCACCCTAATACATAAATAAAGTAATTTTATCTAAATTTAACTGCAGGATATAATATTATTTGAAAATTAATGACCTTTAGTCAGATAACACCATTGTTGTAATTCTCAATCACTATACCTACCTAGCACTGGAAGTTGTTGAACTTGTAGAACTCTGTCCGGTTAGAGAAGGGTTCTTCATTGCTCCTCCCTTAGCAGAGGTTTCCTCTCTTCTACGTCCAGGACGAGCTCGCACAGTGAAAGGGCTGAAATTTGTAGTGCAGTGGGGCATGAAGTCCCTGTAATAGAAGAATAAAACCAAGAATCATTTAACGATATCCTACTGCTCAGGCAAATGATCAGGAAATGCAAGAAAGCATTTTTTCATAATGTAACATGACAAAAATTCCTATTCTCCGAAATCTTTAATAAAATTTTATATTTACAAAAAATTACACAATAAATCAATAAAAACAATTTTACTATGCAACAATGGTGAAATTCACACAACAAAACTTGATGTTAAATGAAACTGCTACATCACAATCCCAGCAATTTATCATTTACAATGTTTGAGTTTCACGAGGATTTTGCCAATTTCAGCAATGAAATTAGTGCAAGAACAACAGCACAAACTTTCTTGCATCATTTCTAACTTTTGGAATTTTTCAAAATTCAGAATTCAACAAAAATTAGACCTGTACCATTATTTCCCGACACCCTTTGCTCTATCCATGGATAAACTTTAATCAAACACTTTGAAGCCAATTTTGAATATGTTTTTACGGCTTGTTGTAAAGAATCCCCAAAAATTTAAATGTTTCGAATTCGCAGGACCTGTAGTACAGCCAAGGTAACTACAGACAGACATTTTGCCATAAACCAATTTTCGAGAGACAAGGAACAATAAAACAAGGATTCTGACTACATGTGTTACAAGAAGCAATTTACTACACGTAGGAGTAAAAGTTTATCACACTTAAGTTTTATCAACTTTTTTATTTCAGGGTGCCACAACGCCAGCTTTTCTGAGATAAAGTCAGCACTTCCCACAGCAACATTACAATATTCCCTCTTTATTCTAATGTATAAAAATATGTAAAAAGGTTTGGTTTTCTGGTTTCCTTTCTTCAACTGATCATTGCAGTAAAAATATTTCACAAATATTACTAAATAATACAAAATTTGAATCTGAGACAGCTTCAAAAATTGACTAGAATTGAAGTGATGATTCAAAAATGATGCAAGATATCATTGCAGTCAAAATACATTGCCTGTTTTTTTTGTTTTTTGTTTTGTTTTGACTATCCCCTTTCATTTCTGTCACCGAGTGGATTACAATTGGACTTTCCATAAAATCATATCTAAAAACTGGTAAATGCACTTTTTTTATAATTATGTTTGAAAAATCACCCAGTTTTTGGTTGTTGAAGGAAATCATCCATATTTTCAAAGCCTGTTAAAAGATTTATTTAATTCTCCTGGATAGAATTTACAAATTTTTAAATTAAAAACTTTTTTTAAGCTAGTCCTATTTTTAAATACTTTTTAGAAGCATAACTACACAACTGTGTGTATTGTCTTCATTTATATGTATGTTTGAAAAAAACATGCAACTCTGCTGAAACATGCGAACAGAAAAACAATGAGTTGTTTCCAGCAAGTGAATCATTTTAGCAATATTTTAAACAAATTTAAATTCTATACTACAATATCTACTTATTATAATGTAGTACTGTTAAAAATTCATATTGGTTAATTTTAATTTAAAAAATTAATTTGATAAAAAAAAAGAAACTTAACAATATGAGAATTATGACATTTTAAACTCTAACTACTAAGTAAGGCATGAATCAATGATTGCAAATCGTCCACTTATGTGATGAACAACAAAGATTCATTATAGGATGGTTTTGCATGAATGTTACATTTGTTATTTTTCAATATACAAAAAACACTTCACGATTTTCTATAATTTTATTGCTTTGTGAATGTAGAAAAGGCTATGAAAAGCACCATCTAAAATATAGGGTGAAAATATTAGAATAATGTGACAGAAGTAATTGTTTAATTTTATTCATTCAACATACAGACACTGAAGCAAGAATTAGACATGAAGGACAAATAAGTAAAGAAATAATGAAGGGAGTAACACAAGGAAACTCTTTCAGTCCTCTTCTTTTAATTTGGTAATGGATGAAATAATCAATGAAACAAATATGCCTGGTTATAGAATGGGATAGAAATATTTTAACTCATACGATATGCAGATGATATTGTCTGAATTGCAGACTGTGAAAATGACTTAATAACTGATACAAAAGTTCAAATTTGTAAAAGCATGATAAACATCAGTCATGACATACACTACAGAAACCCATGCAGACTAAAACTAATGCTGGAAACTTCCGAGACAAAAGTTTTACTGAGAATTGCTTAGGCTAGGCCAGAAAAAGGAGAAAGTAATGAAATACAGACGTATACAATGTAAAATACAGAAGATAGGAGACTGGGTGGAGAGAAGGAAGCTGGAGTGGTACACACAAGTATCTAGAACAGACCGGAAGATTGGCATGAACCGGCTGAAAGTAAAAAACTGCACAAAAGTGGTTAAGAAAGAGGACGAGAGATGATGAAGAGAGATCTGAAGAGTAAGTGAATGAATATTTAGTGTTTTCAGGTGGGTCAACAAAAGTTGGTCCTGTAACTGTAGTACATGTTAGAGGTGGCAGTGGACCACCCCTGCAGGACTATGATATCCAGCATCAACCTACACTCTGGCTTATGGGGCCCTCCAGATATCTCCCCAAGAAGGATATCGCTCCACCTGGGTCAAATTCTAAGCTCCCAATTGGTAACCTGACATATGTGGTACGTCGAGAAGTGCATATATGTGTAAATGAGGTGTTAAAGAGGGAAGAGGAAGGGACATGGACGAGGATGAAAAGATCATGTGCAGTCCGTGGCCCATTTGTACAGCTCATCATTCACCCGGTATTGAGAAGAGAAACTTTTGAAAACTACCATTCTGAGCAGCCAGTCACTGGAATTTTCCTCCAGCCTGTGGTTGAATTTGGCCCAGCTACGTACTTAGGGTCAAAAGTCCACATTTGTTAGAAAAAGGACCTTCCAGTAAACAATGTTGTTCCAGAAGAAGTGCAATATAGTGAGCAAAGAAAGAACAGAAAAGAAAGGAGCTAAAATACAAGGACTAAACTTAATAAAATAAAACAAATGAAAAAAAGAGTCACTATATCCACTCTCTAGAACCACCACATAAAAGCTCAGTGTTGGAATTAAATAAATCTATATTTCATCTCAATTTGACACCGCAAATCAATTAAAGATTACCAAATTCTTTGTAAAATATTAATGTAATTATTCATGACATTTGAAGGTGTCCTTCAATTATTTCTTCACATCTATCATTTAAATTTTTCAGTCTCTTCTTCTAGAAACAATACATAAGGTTTTACAATATTAAAATTATTAATTATACAGTATGCCTGGGCAACATCAACTGAAGAGCATTCTTTCACTATACATTTTAAAATTACAACAAAAGGGTTATTAGTAGTATTTGAAAAATATTACAGGAAATCATTTATGGATCTTTTTCAAATAATGAGAAAAAATACCAAGTATTGTATCCACAGACAGCTGAAAATTGTAACAAAAATTTCTCAGAATACTTTATCAATGAAAAATGCAACGAAAGCTGCTACCTATTGTGACACTGAAACAGTCAGAGATTTTCTTCTTCAACAAGTGCCATTTAGGAAGTTTCTCTTTTGATTTATTTTCCCAGCTTCCCTTCTACAATTTCAATTAAAAGTAATTTTCTATTTTACGTATGTATAATAGTAGTCCAAACATATGTACCTACAAACTGGTGAAGCCCATAAAAATTCTCATATCCACAACAAAAAATTTATAACACATTTCTCACATTAAAAAAAATGCCTTCTTTGGTTCATGCACTTCACTGAAAGTTCTTTGGGCTATCTGAGGGTAAATTATTTCTCTCTCTAAAAAGGTTTATTTTGCTGTACATCAAAATAGCTATGTGGCAATTGTTGAACGTGGGCTCCTTGTTTTTTATAGTTGAGTGTTGCGTGTCTGTGCCAGAATTTAAACATAGGAGCATTTTATATTGTTTATATGATGTCTGTTTAATCCAAGTTTTGAATAAAATTCGTTTTTGGAATTGTTTTCTGGTGAGTTTTTGAAGCAGTGAACTGAGGAAGTTCTTGTTGCTAAACTGCACTTATGGCTGAAAATACACACTTTTTGCCGGGTAAAAGAGAATTGACTCTATATATAATAAAGAAAGACATATTTCGAATTAAAAAATATTGCTGGGAAATTGACTCTTTCACAAGCATTGTTTGGTAGAATGTTATGCATTGAAATCAGGAGACACACTTGCAGTCAAATGTAAGGGGAAATGTGGTTGAAATCCTAAACTAAGTTCTTGTATGCAACAAAAATTGATTCAAATGCCAAGATGGATTGAAGAAACACCAGTAAGGACTTGAGCAAAAAATTAAGTCAAATGGAGTTGAAATATCCTATCAAGTGTAAGAAGGGATCTTTGTGCTGCATGACTATCTGCACAAAGGTCAAGAAGTAAAGTGAAAATAACTCCTAAGACATTGGCAAAACAATTGCAGAAGTTTACATCAGTTGGGAAAACATAAGAAACATTATAATCTCATAATTCAAGAAAAGCAGCCAGTAAAGCCAGCAACAAGAAAAGCAGCCAGAACGTAAGAATGGCCACTGATGAGTTTTCTCCAAAATCTATCTCTCAGATAGTCAAACGCCTAACTTCAATTATAGTACGGAGTTGCATGTCAGTTCATGCATGTGACAGATTAGCACTGTTTAAAGCACAATCAATACAAAAAGGTACTTCAAACATGCCTACTGCCTCAGATCACAGATTGGTTTCCAGAAAAAGATGGCATTTTATGCACAACTGAGCCCCATGCCAATAAGCCAAGTCTGATAAGAAATTCTTGGAGGAAAATAACAGAAAGACAATGTCACGGCTTGGTAATGGCCCAGACTGCAACCCAAATGAAAATTTATGGGAAATTATTAAGACAAAATTGAAGGAAACAATAACAACCAGAATTGGCTTCATTGGAAATATCATAGACATACGGTTTCATGAAGAAAAAATTCAGAAAAGGTGCAAGGATCTTGTGAATAGTATGCCAGAGAGGATACAAATGGTTATAAAGAACAATGCTCTTCAAGCACTAAAGAGGGTATTGTATATTGAGATATTGTGGTAATTATATATCAAAAGTAAATTACTGTTAGTTTCTTTAATTATTCTAATAATTAGCACACCTATAATTTGCATTTTCTGTATGTAATATTTTACACAAAATATCAAAATACATGAATTAAGAAATACATTTTCATTTAAAATTTTGAAATTAAAAAAAAGAAGTTTTTTTTTACAATAACTTTAGCACTATTTGTAGCCAAGTAGTTTTTCAAGCGCCAGTGAAGTATTAGTGGTTTACAAGTTGCAACATTAAAATACCAAGTAACCATTATCAATAACCCTAGACAGTATGTGCTCTTGTAGCACCACTAGCTTTAAAATTGCACTCAATATTATTTGATGTATTTGATTATTGACGTATTTTGTGATGATATTTGATGTATTTTGATTATTTGATATATTATATGAATGCACTCAATATTAAGAGAAAACTACTGATATTTTCAAAAAATTGTTTAAGACATGATTTACATCATGAAGTTTGAAAATCACATTACATTGAAAATAAATCTCCATCTTCAATAATGGAGTTGGCAGAAGAGAGAGACCACATTTTTGCCTTTTAGAATTACCAAAAATTCTAGGGTTTTAATGAAAATGGGAACTTTGCCATTGTTACAAGCATAATTTACTCTAGTCAAGCAAAAATAAAATTTTTAATGGAGCAATTTCTGGAAAAATTTTCAATATTTCTGAGAGGCTATATGTAAAGAACACTCCAAAATCCCAAAATATCCATTTCACCCACATACTCAAAGAGCCCAAAACATCCATTTCAAATTCAAAGGGTGGGCAGAAGGACGGATGTTTTGCCAACAAACAATTTTTTGGTAGCAATGATCAAGCAAAACGTGGAAACTGAGAACCATATTTTTATACAGGCCAGGTTTTCCCATTAAAGACATAAGTATGATGTTCCTACATAGTCTAGAACCACCTTGGTTTCCTAACATCAATAGCTACTTAAGAGATTTGTGATAGAGTTTAATGGAACTTCTGAGAGCAATCCATGAGATCACTTCATGATGGAATCCTCTAACAGATCTTCAGGGACTAGCAGGTTGTTGGCGCTTTTATTTAACTTATTTTACCTTTTCCTCCCAAACTTTCGGAAGACTAGACAAATTCCATGAACAGACAGTCTCATACCACATGGACCTCTTCCCTATTTGAGAAAGTAATTTACATGTAGGGGGCAAGAAAAATTCCCTTTTTTTTGGCATCCGGGACTCACAAAATGAGTTGATCTATCAAAAATTGGTACTTTTCCCCAAAGTTTTATGATAATTTCTCTATACTACATAGAAGCAGTCAAGATCGTAAAAAAAAAAAAAAAAAATCTTACCTGACAGAATGACTAATTTTATATGCATACATGTCACTAAGAACACTAAATTCGTAGGGTCTGTGATAGTCTGTATATGCATCAATCATTTCATCATTACGTGACACTGGAATTACTTCTTTACATTTTTTTTTAATTTCACTGTAAGCGCGAGGAAGAAATTCCAAGACTTCTTGATCCCACCACTGACTTTGTGGAGTTCTGAAACCAGAAGAGGAATATTTTGAAACAACTTGTATGATCCAACTGCATGGGTTAACAGGTGAATGGGTAAGCATGGAGACGAAAATAGAGAGAAGTAGAAAGAATAAAAGGCAAGAAGAGGGGAGAGACAGAGAGAGAGAGAGACAGAGAGAGAGAGAGAGAGAGAGAGAGAGAGAGAGAGAGAGAGAGAGACAGACAGACAGACAGAGAGACACACACACACAGAAGAAAGGAAGTATGAAACATTAGGTGTAACTGGACAAGTAAAAAATGTCTCTCTTCCAGAATGAAATTTTAATCAGAAAAATTAACTAAGTTTCATTTGACCTTTCATTTGCCCCAAACTTAAACCCCCTTCATTATAATAATGAATTATGGTATTTATGTATTATGGTATTAACTATAGACAACAATGTATCAATTATGTATGAGGGTCCATGTCTTACATTTTAAGGTAAATTAATTTGTTCATTTCAGTTACTTACAATTATATTTGAAACTAAAATACCAACTTTGTGTATTTCAGATACCTATATTATACACACAAATTTAAGTTATATTTTAACTAGATTCAATAATAAATACAAGAACCAAACTATCACTTGAAATTTGAAGGAAGTTATTATTCAATAGATCTGATGTGATGAATATGCAATAGAGCAAGGGAATAAAAGGTTGAGCTGTGTTCTTTTATGATAAAAGAAAATCTCGGAAATTATTAAATCACATAAAAATAACACATCAGGCACATCAAATGATGTCACTAGTATATTGAAGAAGGATATTAAGAGCATTCACCTTCTGTATTTTTTAATTCCTAGAGCCAGAGAATGATGCAGATAGTAGTCAGTCATAAGTTCCCATATAGGAGGTTTATTTTCTTCGGGAATGAAAAGGCCAAGAAAGAGGTTTATGGTATGTTGTTTCTCTGCATCTGCAAAATAACACCCATTAACTAAAGAACTAAGTACAACTGAAAGCAAAAAAGTAGAATACAAATAGAAATACAAAAAAACAAACTTATGGAGAAAGTTTTAACTGTAATGACCGCCATGGTACATTTTTATGATATTCAAATACCTTGCTCATGTAAATTATTTTCAAAGGAACATTTTCTGATTATCATTCTTTTTAATTACACTAATAAATAAATAAGCCTGTTTTGTAAAAAGATCCCCTGTATCTAAACAGGGTTAGCTCTTGCTATACGTCAGATGAGATACTTCTGATGGTTGTTGAGCCCTACTTCCCAGCTTCAGGGTACACTTTACACTTTCTGCTCTTCGTTTTCACCATCACCTGCAGCTCATGTCCACTGCTTTCCTGTTACTCTCTGTAATTCGCAGCTCCATTTCATCTTCTGTCTTCCTGCATTTCTTTTTCCAAATCTCAGGTCCCACATTGTTGCTACATATGCCCACTTTTCCGGCTTCATTTCTGCAACTTGACCTCCCCACTACCGTTTTAATTTCTTAGCAGTTTCTTGGGCATCTGCTATTTGGATAGTTCTCCTGATATTATCGTTCCTTAGTTTGTCTTGTATAGACGTGGAGTATTTTCCTCTCCATTCTTCTTAATCACAGCTAGTTTTTCCATATGTTTCTGTGTAGCGGCCCAGGTTTGTGCTCTGTACAACATTACTGGCAGCACACAGCTGTCCATTTCTTTCTTTCTCTCTTTTTTTTGTCTTTTGTCCAAAAGTAAGAATGACAGGGACCACAATTTCTTTTATGCCAGCATTATTCTTCTGTTAATTTCATCTGCTATAATATTAAAAAATATCATCTGTCCCAAGTAGATTACATTATATTAAATCAATTATAGTAATATATTAACTTAATGAAGACGAACTAAAATGTTCATTCTGATTGGCACACATGTAAGATTTTTTAATTTGTTATATCTAACAATAAACACTTGTTTTATACTCATTACTTTGCATTTACACATCATTATTACTGATTCTTTTCTAAAATAATTATGTTTTTTTACATATTATCATTCATAATTTAAGTATGTAGATTAAATATGTAATTAGTAAAAATAGGTAACTCCTACAAGGTGCATGGCCAGCATCCACATGTCCAGTGATTCTTAGAGCAAATGCTAAGATGGCCCTTTACTTGCTTCTGAACACTATTTGTCAGTTTACTCCTATCCCAATGTCGCATGCAAGACAAATAGGAATTTATAATGTAATAAACTATTATCCAATTCTAGTGGCAAATTTGATTTTCAGAATGAAGAATTGACAAGATGCAGTCTTCCAATATCACGCAAACAAGATAAATCATTTTTAAACATACAATCACTTTCCAATTAACCAATTCACTAGAAATGTTATTTATGGGGAAGATATTTCCATTACATTTTTAGCCTCACTGAGTTGAAATATTACCAAAAATATCTGTAAGAAATCATGTCCTACCCTATCTATTTAGAAAAAAGTATACCTGAAAAAGTGTTGCTATAATAACGACTCAGTGTTTGCATTATATCATTTCCTTGAGATGTCCAGGGAGCAGTTTTACGGTATGTTTTAATTCGATGTACCAACTGAGAACCACCATACTGCAAAGCAAGTGTGTCCCCATGATCTTCATACAGCTCTTCAAGCATTCGTACACAATCAGTATCAAATTCCAGCCTAGGAGATTGAAGCATTCCCAAAGTACACAACTGCAAAGAAGAGAGAAGTTACAATGCAGAAAGTTACATAAATGTGCAGTTTTTCACATAGTTTATAGTAATTTATACAGTGAAGGATTAAATAGAGTTTTACTCATAAGCAAAAAATGATGAAATATGGGGGGAATTGCTCTGATTGCCCTTGGAAGTGAATGGCGGAATGTTGAGTGTATTCGAAAGAAATGGAGTATGTAAAAGAGTTCAGCCGACAGAGGCACTACATAGCTTTGCAACAGTGAAACCCGCGAGATGAAAATAATTTCTGACAATTTACAGAGAGCCTGCAATTATGAAATGAGAAAATGATATTGCTGATAGGAGATTATGGAAAAGGAAAATAAGGATTTACAACAATCTCAAACAAAACTGTACTGTATAAGTAATCAAGCCTGGAATTCAAATTCTCCCATGTGATCTATTACTACCAACTACACAGGCACGCAAAATAAAAACGCTTTCAGACTCAAAGACTTGACACATGTTTATCTTTGTATGTTGACGTACGTAATCCAATTCTGAAGCCACCACCTTCCAGTTTTCTTAAATAGCAAAAAACCACCGTAAAATTGCAATTAAAAAAACTTGAAGGTAGTGTGGTTATTCTGGCTTCAGATCCAGCGCTTTGACATACATAAAGAAACTTGCGTCAAGTTTTGGGTCTGACAACCCCTGGAAAAAAAAACAACAAACAAACAAAGTCACGGGTTTTTTCGCGAAAAAAGGGGGGGGGGGGTAGTGGCGCAATTCTAGCTTCAGTTTTCTCCAAAAATGTGTGTTAGAAGAATGGAAGTGGAATTACACTACTGGTTACGATAAATAGAGGAGGATATTGCTTTGTGCTATGAAATAATCCACGTTCTATTTTTTAATTTTTCATATTTTTGAATCATAATCATTTAATAAATAATTACCATTTAAAAAACGTAATTATCGAGCGAACCTTTTCCCACCACTTCCGTACCATCATTAGAACACTGTACGCCTGAAGCCACGTCCTGCACTGACTTTATTCCGAAGCTCGGTTTCAAGCAGAGCAAATTTTTGTGACGCCACAGAGCATTGAGTTGGCACTGCCCTACATCATCCGCTTCACAGCTAAACACAACCTTCTTGACATTATAGAAAAAAGTTGAATATTCGCAATTGTAATAGTCAAATATTCAGATGTTTTTACTGATATTACGTCAAGATTTAGTTTGAAACAACAGACATTATGAAAAAAAATCTCTAAATTACAGTTGTAGATCTGCAATTTTAAACTTTTACAATCATTGAAAATACAAAGCTTACCGAAAATGACACTTGCACCATTTTTATAAGAGGATTTTGCTCTATTCAAGAAAATATTGAAGGAGCTATTGAGGAAATACTGGTTTTTATAATTGCCCTTGCACTCTGACCTTGATGTTGGTAGCAGAGCTTGAGAACCTCCGTGACCCTGAGATTTATGCCGGCGGTAGCGTAGCTACTGGCAGGGCCTCCCTTGCCAGACAGATCGAAGAAGAGGGGTTAGACAAAGAAGTCTACAGAAGAGGACTTCAGGAGGTAACTCCAGAAGAGGACTACGCATAGAAAACCATCATCTTTGCGGAGGCGAAGTGGCCCTGTAGCTTAGAAGAGGTGGATAGTAGGCGAGGCTCTTCAGGCAGCGAGAAGCCAGAGTAGAGCTAGAGAAGATAACTTCGATAAAAAATCCAGACTCTTTCCTTCTTTGAAGTTGTGCGAATGGCAGGTAACCCACGTGAAAAACAATTCCCCCTGCAAGCTTCAAAGAAGATGGCCGGACCGAACTTATGACGAATTTGGCAAGAAAAAGGTTAAGAATATGGAATAAAGGATATATTAAAGATTGCTGCTTGGAATATGAGGGGTCTGTCAACAAAAGGACTAGAACAATATAGGGAATTAAAAGAGAAAAGGATAATTATAGCCATTATTTCAGACACAAAAAAGAAACTTAAAGGAACAAAAGACCTGGAAAATTATGTAATGATATATAGTAGGATAGAATAAAAAATAAAAGCAAGAAGTAGAATTGCAATTCTTATAGATAAAAAATGAAAAAAACAAAATCGAAAGTTATATTTTTGTTAATGATAGAATATTGACCGTATGATTAAAAATAGAAAGAGGGCATCTCACTATACTTGGTGTATATGCTTCTGAAGAAGGTAGGACAAAACTTAATGAATTCTATGAAGTTCTTGAACATTAGCATGAAGCCAATACAAGGACCATATAATTTTGGCAGAAGACTTCCATGACAGAGTAGGTAATATACCTATCCCTCAAATAGTTGGATCTGTTAGAGATAATCACTTGAATAGAAATGAACGAAAGCTTAGAGAATTTGCCACCTTCAACAACTTAAAGATAACAAATACATTCTTTTGTAAGTAAGACTTTCTTTAGTATACATGGACAGCAAGAGGTCTGAGATCAATTATAGATTATATAATTGTGAATAAGAAATTAGCAAGTCAAATAAGAGATACACGAGCAAGATACAAGATTACAAGTGATGTAAATTCAGACCATTACTTCTTAAAATCAGATATAGAAATGTTAGCAAGGTGGAAGAAGAAGAAATATTAGAGTTCCTAGCATCAGAACCAGAAAAAGACAAAGTCTTAAAGGTCCATTTCCTGCAACAAGAGCGTAAAATATTTGTACCAAACCAGAATAGCACAGAAAATTGAAGGTACCACAGATCACTAGCGACGAACTAGGAGACGAAGAATGGGTAAATATTAAAATCATAATTAAAGATGCAGTTTCAGAAGCTTTAGGAAAATTAAGAAAATTCATAAAATGAAAAGGTTTTAAATTTGTAACAAAGTGAAAACAAACCATACACAAAAAGTGGCATATATGAAACTTCTGCAAATGAAGACCGATGAAACATGGAGATCATACAAAGTTAAAAGAAATATCGCCAAAGAAATAGAAAAGCTCACCAATCAGCATGGGAAAGATTTATAAGCGAATTAAAAAAATGACATTCATAGCAGACAACTAGCATATCAAGTATTTAGGCATATCAATAGAAATATGAATAGAAAAGACATAGCTAATTTGAAAATTATAAAAGAAAGTCAGTGGGTTGAATATTATGAAACTTTATGCTATAACCCTGAAGATGAAAATCAATGTGAAATGACTGTACAAGCTTCGATATATGATCGATTCAGAAGAATTAGAAACAGCAATAACGGGACTAAAAATCGAAAAGTTCCAGGACTTGAAATAAATACTGAACTAATAGGAGGTTTGCTGTTAAAACTACGACTCCTCCACCTATTAAATTTATGCTGGAACAACGGCATACTAACTAAGCTTTTCATTAAATGCAAGGTAAAATGTGGGGAAAAAAAACACCCCCTGAAAATAAACGTGTTCAATTATTTAAAAAATGGGTTGGCAGAAAAGAGCCGCATAAACACTTTAAAATCTCTAACTATAAGCCAAATGATTGGCATAATCCTCTTCCCTCAGATAATGCTGTAAATGTCAGACTTTCGAAAGAATCTAAAATAGATTCATTTCCAAGAACCTGCGCTAGAGAGCTAGCAAGGTGAAGCCTTCGCCGGCTATCTCTTACCTTAGAACAGTGCAGGAGAACATGCTCCACGGTGAGATCCGTCTCGCAACTATCGCAAGTGGGGGTGGGTCACGGCGGAATGATGTCAGTGAGAGAAATGACAGTCAATGATCTGAAGGTGTGTCAGAATTAGCTCCTCGTGCCTGGACCCACAAGATGAAGACCAAGGCTTCATGGAATCCTTGATTCTCATTTAAAATTTAAAGTTAAAAATCGGAGTTCTCCACTCTAGTCATGCACTGAGAATATGTTCGAAACAAGAAGAGAAGTAGGAGATGGATTCGAAAGAGTGGCAAGGGAGACCCAAGAGGTCCATGTGCTTCCTGAAACCTGAAGAGGTATAAATAAATTCCTTTGCCCCTGGAGCCAGACCAGACGTTTGTTTACCATTCGCTCTAAATGCTTGCTCACACAGCTTGGGCGGTAACTCAGATTTAAATTTATTTATTTAAAAAAAAAAAAAAAAAAAAAAAAAAAAAGTAAAAGTAAAAACTGTATGTGACGTATGGGGGACCACCGTTAAGACACTTCTGACAAATATTACAGATTCGTAAAAATATAGGCAAGGAAGTGGTAAGATTTCAAGCTGAATGAAGAGAGGCTTGCAAGGATCACACGGATGGCATGTTTTTCATTATTCAAATAATTTTCTTTTGCAATCTAAAGGTTTGGGTACTGCATGATGAGCTTCCTCAGAATTTTATACCATATCTCAGGTGGGAATGTACATTTGCAAAATACACGCAACGAGCTGCATGAAGGCTGACAGAATTTGAAAGAATTCTGAATGGGTAACACAATGCACTTAATTTAGTGTTTAATTTTGTTATATGTACATTCCATTTAAGGATTGACTGAATTGAGAGACTTAGAAATCTTGTTACCTGAACATCAGCTAATTGCATATTGTTCATTTTCAAATGGAGTATGCGATTGCTGATTTGAAATGCAAAAATGCATTGAAACTGTTTTTTCTTCATTAACTATTAATTTATTTCCAAACCAATTTGAAACTTCTGAACTCTTACTATTTATTGTTTCTTTTTTGCAAAGAACATTCGTGTCATCGGCAAACAGAACTGTTCATCTGTTTTTAATAGACGACAGCATATCGTTTACGTATAACAGAAAGAGAATAGGGCCTAAAATCGTACCTTGCAGGGCCCCATATTCAATTGGTAAAAAATTGGAAAGATAAGTAAATAATGTCCTTTCGTGCCAGTACAGTATTTCTACTCTTTGAGATCTATGTTTAAGGTACGAGGTTATCCATTCTAGGGCGATACCATGAATTCCATCCGAAGGTAATTTTGATAGCAAGATGTTATGGTCAATAACGTCAAAAGCTTTCGAAAGATCTAAAAATATTGCAATGGGTCATTCATTTTGG